CAATTAAGATAACCTCCCTTTATTTTTTCACAAATTTCTGATATGACATTGAGAAGTTATTGAACTTTATTCGTAAAAAATGCGATGGGCGTATCATGCGCTCATGGCACAGCTGTTTATTGAATTATCAATCAGCGTGCTAAAGTGCCCTTTTCGTGATTGGCTCCCTGCCCTTTTGAAATCCTAGCTGGAACACTGTGATACTAAATGATTTCTTATTTTACGTTTTTAGTGTCGGAATACTATCACGCATGCGCAGTACACAGTAAAGGAAGCACCTGTTTGACTCTTGAAAACATTTCTGAACGTTTTGAATAAAGTTCTATCTTTTTTATCGAAATTGTCAAAAGGTTTGGATGAAAAAGTTATATCAAATATGACAAATATACGTTAAAATGACGAAACTACGACAAACGAACTGCAAATTGTGATCGTTTGAGAAATATTGAATTTCAAATACGAACTGTCCTGGGGGAAACAATTTTGTTCAAATGACGAAACTACCACAAACGAACTGCAAATTGTGGTTTTTTAAGAAATATTGAAATTGAAATGCCGACTGACTGATTTTACTGGAGAAAATAATTGTGATGGTCAATTATGAGGTTTATTAATAATTAACGGATTAGTGACCCATGATCACCCATCCAATGGCGATAAGCGGACTACCTGTAATCACAACTTATAACACCTGTTGTAAATGTTAATTACCTGAGGCTCATAAACTTGTCAGAAACATGAAGACAGGTAGAGTCAGAAACATAAAGACAGGTAGATTTATAGCATTTTCATACGAAAATATTTTTACACTTTCCAAATTTAAGTGAAGAAATTGATTTGAAATACTTTCATCATTTTGAAAACCGTTTCGTAAATGACGAAAATGACGAGCCCTAGCAAAATCACTGATGATATATTCATTGCAATCAAAAAATCTAATTCTAAAAAGTACATGTATGGTATTGACACTTGTCTATAGTTAAAGACCCTAAGTTGACCTCAATATAAAAAATTTCTGTGTGTTAATCATGTTAATCATTACTTGTTCTCTCCTGTTGTTCAGAAACTTTTCATGATCCTGTATCACTACCAGAAACAATAAGAATTAGCCATGTACACTATAACTGAGGTTGAAATTGCTTTTCCCAATGGCTCTTTTTTTGAAGCCCACTCCTCTCCATGTTAACTCAAATTTACATTTGTAACATCAGATTCAGTAAAAATACTGAATATAATGTGGATTCATTACTATTCGTGGGATACCAATTTATTAGGATTGTTGGGTACAGGTGAATCACAAATTTAAATGTTGAAGGAAGAACAACTGTGTGTGGTCCTTAATTATAGTTGGGCTGCTGCTTTTTATACGACCGCAAAACTTTTGTGGTCGTATATTGGTATCATGTCATCGTTGTCGTCCGAAGACATTTGGTTTCCGGACAATAACTTTAGTATAAGTAAATAGAAATCTATAAAATTTAAACACAAGGTTTATGACTACAAAAGGAATGTTGGGATTGATTTTGGGAGTTTTGGTCTCATCAGTTTAGGAATTAGGGGCCAAAAAAGGGCCCAAATAAGCATTTTTGTCGAGCCTGCGACTTTTGTCGCAGAAAGCTCGACATAGGGATAGTGATCCGGCGGCGGCGGCGGCGGCGGCGTTAGCTTACTTCTTAAAAGCTTTATATTTTAGAAGATGGAAGACCTGGATGCTTCATACTTTGTATATGGATGCCTCATGTTACGAAGTTTCCGTCAGTCACATGTCCAATGTCCTTGACCTCATTTTCATGGTTCAGTGACTACTTGAAAAAAAAGTTCAGATTTTTTGTAATGTTAAATTCTCTCTTATTATAAGTAATAGGATAACTATATTTGGTATGTGCGTACCTTGCAAGGTCCTCATGCCCGTCAGACAGTTTTCACTTGACCTCGACCTCATTTCATGGATCAGTGAACAAGGTTAAGTTTTGGTGGTCAAGTCCATATCTCAGATATTATAAGCAATAGGTCTAGTATATTCGGTGTATGCAAGGACTGTAAGGTGTACATGTCCAACTGGCAGGTGTCATCTGACCTTGACCTCATTTTCATGGTTCAGTGGTTATAGTTAAGTTTTTGTGTTTTGGTCTGTTTTTCTTATACTGTATGCAATAGGTCTACTATATTTGGTGTATGGAATGATTGTAAGGTGTACATGTCTAGCTGGCAGGTGTCATCTGACCTTGACCTCATTTTCATGGTTCAGTGGTTATAGTTTAGTTTCTGTGTTTTGGTCTGTTTTTCTTATTCTGTATGCAATAGGTCTACTATATTTGGTGTATGGAATGATTGTAAGGTGTACATGTCTAGCTGGCAGGTGTCATCTGACCTTGACCTCATTTTCATGGTTCAGTGGTCAAAGTTAAGTTTTTGAGTTTTGGTCTTTTTTTCTAATACTGCATGCAATAGGTCAGCTATATTTGGTGTATGGGATGATTGTAAGGTGTACATGTCTAGCTGGCAGGTTTCATCTTACCTTGACCTCATTTTCATGGTTCAGTGGTCAAAGTTAAGTTTTTGAGTTTTGGTCTTTTTTTCTAATACTATATGCAATAGTTCAACTATATTTGGTGTATGGAAATATTTTATGATCTATATGTCAGTCACGCAGGTTTTATTTGACCTTGACCTCATTTTCAAGGTTCATTGCTCAGTGTTAAGTTTTTGTGTTTAGGTCTGTTTTTCTTAAACTATAAGCAATAGGTCAACTATATTTGTTGTATGGAAGAATTGTTAGCTGTACATGCCTGCCTAGCATGATTCATCTGACCTTGACCTCATTTTCATGGTTCATTGGTCAATGTTTAGTTTACTTGGTTAATGTTAAGTTTATGTGACAGTTGTAATAAAGCTTTATATTTAGGACTATCAACATAATATCAATGATTAGTAAAGAAGGCGAGACATTTCAGCGTGTGCACTCTTGTTCTAGTTTCCAGACAATAACTTGTGGAATGGTGTATGGATCTCTCTGAAATTATACCACAAGTTTCCATACCACAAAGGGATGGTAAGAATTGGCTTTGGAGGGTAATGGCTCAATTCGTTAAGGAATAAGGGGCAAAAAAGGGGGGAAAACAAAGGTTTCCAGGTTAATGGACAATTACTTAAGTACAAAACATAATTTAAAAGCAGTGTATTGGAAATTTGCCAATAACATTAGTATTAATAAACTACATTGGAAATTTGCCAAGAACTTTTAAATAGTATAATAAACTCCATTGGAAATTTGCCAATAACTTTAGTATAAGTAAATATAAATCTATGAAATTCAAACACAAGGTTTGAAACCATAAAAGGAAGGTTATGATAGATTTTGGGGGTTATCGTCCCTATGGTTTAGGAATTAGGGGTCAAAAAGGGGCCCAAATAATCATTTTTCTAGTGTCCAGACAATAACTTGTGGAACAGTGTATGAAATTGTACCACAAGTTTCCACACCACAAAAGGATGGTTAGGATTGGCATTGGGGGGTTATAGTGCTTAATCTGTTTAGGAATTAGGGGCAAAAAAAGGGGAAAAACAAGGGTTTCCTGGTTAATGGGCAATTACTTTAGCTTTGTTTCTTTATGTTGGTTCTTTTTGCTATTTGTTTGCTAGCTCTAGTATGAAATATTTTTAGCTGTTTCTAGAAACATCAAATTCTGTGATTTGAATACATATAATATTGTGTATATCAAAGGGTTCAGTGGTAATAAATTTTTATACTCAGAATTGATTATTCTTTGTTTGGGTTTTTTTTACATTAGAGTTACCTCCCTTACAATGGTTCCATACTACAAAGGAAAGACTGGGATTGAGTTTGATGGTTAATGCTCCAAAGGGGATTCGAAAAGTTTGGGGGTGGGGGGTTCCAATTTTTTTTACGGGGTTCATATTTTTTTTTTCCAAATTTTTCGAATTTCAAATTTTTGAAAAGTTTCAAGAAGAAATCTTCAATTGCACAGTATTGCACATTAGATTTGTAAAATCTTTGACCACATCTATTTTGTGTCAGAAACCTTTATTATGTCAAAAATTTGATCACAATCCAAATTCAGATAGTATCAAGCTTGAATATTGTGTCCAAATTTGCCCCAACTGTTCAGGGTTTGACCTCTGCGGTCATATCAGGCTGCGCTCAGCAAAGCATTTTATTTGTCTAGGCTACCAGTTTTGAAATTTCATAAGCCCATGTGGCTACTATATAATAAAAACTATATCATAAAAGTAAGGCTTATTACCAGATATATGGTTTAAGTTCATTTATAGGTATACAGATTGAGTTGAATCGAGTGACAGTTGAACATCTGAGAATACTACCGGTATAATGCAAGACAAAAGATTTGATTGATTATTTCAAAATTTCAATGTTAAATTTATATATTGAATTTTTGTGCCCCCGCCGTAGCGGAGGGGTCATTAAGTTTTACCCTTGTCCGTCTGTACGTCCCAAAATTGGTTTCCATTCTCTAACTTTAGTTTGCCTCAACCAAATGTTATGAAACTTACACACAAAGCTTATTAACACACAACACAGGTCAAGTTTGAATTTGGGTGGCGTCACTGTTACCGTTTTAGAGTTATGCCCCTTTACAAATGGAAAAATTGCTTCATTTTTTGTTTCCGTTCTCTAACTATAGTTTGCCTCAACCAAATGTTATGAAACTTATACACAATGCTAATTACCACAAAACACAGATCAAGTTTGAATTGTGGTGGTGTCACTTTTACCTTTCTAGAGTTATGCCCCTTTACAAATAGCTGAATTTTTCCTTTCCGTTCTTTAACTTCAGTTTGCCTCAACCAAATGTTATGAAACTTATAATACACAATACTTATTACCACAAAACTCAGATCAAGTACAAATTTGGTTAACTTCACTTTTACAGTTCTTGAGTTATGTCCCTTTATAACATTATATGCAAGCGGGGGCATCATCTGTGTCCCATGGAAACATTCCCCATTTATTTTTGTAGGTATTGATGTATGAGTAAAAATCATAAAAGATGCCCAGAAGAAAAGAAAACAAAATTCAAGAAAAAGGAGAGAAGAATTTAATTGCCAATGTTAAGTCTGATATGAAAAAGAATCAACAAGAGAATGACGTAGAAACAGTTTCCAAGGTTACAAGAACTAGAAACCGAGGAAATGGACATACCGGTATTGAAAAGCCTAATGACAATCAAAAGGGAAAAAGAAAAAGTAACTGTAAGAATAATAAATCAGACACTATCATTAAAGATAATTTAAAACAAGTTGAGAAAGTAAACCTGGATGAAATAGAGAATGATAAAGATATAAAGAAAGAACAAAATGGAAGAAGAAAGAGAAAAAGTAGCTCTCAGAATGTAAAAGTAGAAGACAATGAAAAGAGTGATGGCAGTAGTAAAGGGGATTTTGTAGATGGTGATGTACAACTTGACAGTTCTAAAGTAATTAAAAAAATAAAATTAGATCCATGGCCTAAAATGAAATTAGATGCATGGCCTAAACGTGACAACGAAAAAGAGTCAACAGTTTTGTCTAAAAAGTTAGAACCATGGCCACAAGTTCAAAACAAAGGTAGAAGAAATGAAAATCTTAATACTGATGGAAAGACAAAAGACAAAGATGCTTTTCATGGAAAGGAAGGAAATAGTGCAGGGAATGAGAAATTGCAAAATTTTGATATGATTAAGAAATTAAAAACAGACACAGGGAAAAAGAGGAAGTCAAATACCAAAAAAGAGGATATTCTTCAGAATACAGTTAAAGTGAAGAAACAGAAAAGACAAGCTACAAAATGTAACCAGAAGCAAAAGGACAATAATCTCGATACTACAAATTCAAAGGAACAGAATGAACAGAAAACAGAGAAAAAAACAAATGCTACAAAAAAGAAAAGAAAAAGTGAACCTGCTGATACTAAACAAAGCAAAAAAGTAGTTTTGGACAAGGAGAGTAGGGAAAAGACAAAAAAATCACTCAAAAAGAAAGAAAATAATACAAAATTAGATGATGTTGAGATAATGTCAGATAATAGTTCAGACAATGAAGATACACAGAAAAGTAGCCACAAAACCAATAGAGAGGTGAAAGATGTAGATTGTAAAAACGATGATAAAATTGAAAACAACACTTCTAATTGTCAACCATTAAAGTCCATGTCAAGTGTTAAAAAGAAAGTTGACATGGGAGATGTGACTTCAGTTTTGTTAATGATGGAAGGAAAGACAAAAATTGTTGATGATGCTGTACCCAGTACTTCAGGAATGCAGGGGGATGATGAAAGTGAAGATTTGATAGAAAGTGAGGAATCAGACTGGGAAGAAGTAGCAGGTATGTTTTAAAGCTTTGCATCTTTGATGTTTGGCCAGAAAAGAAAAACATGTGTTTAGGTTTTCCCGACCAACTCTAATTTTAAGTGCCAACCCTATTGTTTATATATGTGAATTTCTTAACAAAATGTCACCATCATATCAGTTGTTGTAACTGCTGACTTATCTCATCAAAATATGATGAAGAGTGTTTCACAAAATGGCAAGAAATTTAAAATTCTAGTTCATCTATATGGCTATCCCATAAAACTGAGATATATATTTTTTTAAATGTGTACTTAGAAAAAATATTTTGTACAAACCTTATCATTATAATGCATAAACACATTTGATGTTGGATTTCTTTCTCCTTAAAATTTGTTCAAGTAACTTTTTCTTGTATTACAATTTTCATTTTCATTACAAAAAAAGTCAAAATTTATTTTTATTTTACCATAAGTTTTGGTTCAGGGTTACATCTGTGAATGTGATGGATCCAACCACTTTATTATTTAAAATATTACCAATACATTGTTCATATTGTTTTGTAGTATTACCAGGATTACCAATACATTGTTCATATTGTTTTGTAGTATTACCAGGATTACCAATACATTGTTCATATTGTTTTGTAGTATTACCAGGATTACCAATACATTGTTCATATTGTTTTGTAGTATTACCAGGATTACCAATACATTGTTCATATTGTTTTGTAGTATTGCCAGGATTACCAATACATTGTTCATATTGTTTTGTAGTATTACCAGGATTACCAATACATTGTTCATATTGTTTTGTAGTATTACCAGGATTACCAATACATTGTTCATATTGTTTTGTAGTATTGCCAGGATTACCAATACATTGTTCATATTGTTTTGTAGTATTACCAGGATTACCAATACATTGTTCATATTGTTTTGTAGTATTACCAGGATTACCAATACATTGTTCATATTGTTTTGTAGTATTACCAGGATTACCAATACATTGTTCATATTGTTTTGTAGTATTACCAGGATTACCAATACATTGTTCATATTGTTTTGTAGTATTACCAGGATTACCAATACATTGTTCATATTGTTTTGTAGTATTACCAGGATTACCAATACATTGTTCATATTGTTTTGTAGTATTACCAGGATTACCAATACATTGTTCATATTGTTTTGTAGTATTGCCAGGATTACCAATACATTGTTCATATTGTTTTGTAGTATTACCAGGATTACCAATACATTGTTCATATTGTTTTGTAGTATTACCAGGATTACCAATACATTGTTCATATTGTTTTGTAGTATTGCCAGGATTACCAATACATTGTTCATATTGTTTTGTAGTATTACCAGGATTACCAATACATTGTTCATATTGTTTTGTAGTATTGCCAGGATTACCAATACATTGTTCATATTGTTTTGTAGTATTGCCAGGATTACCAATACATTGTTCATATTGTTTTGTAGTATTACCAGGATTACCAATACATTGTTCATATTGTTTTGTAGTATTACCAGGATTACCAATACATTGTTCATATTGTTTTGTAGTATTGCCAGGATTACCAATACATTGTTCATATTGTTTTGTAGTATTACCAGGATTACCAATACATTGTTCATATTGTTTTGTAGTATTGCCAGGATTACCAATACATTGTTCATATTGTTTTGTAGTATTACCAGGATTACCAATACATTGTTCATATTGTTTTGTAGTATTACCAGGATTACCAATACATTGTTCATATTGTTTTGTAGTATTACCAGGATTACCAATACATTGTTCATATTGTTTTGTAGTATTGCCAGGATTACCAATACATTGTTCATATTGTTTTGTAGTATTGCCAGGATTACCAATACATTGTTCCTATTGTTTTGTAGTATTGCCAGGATTACCAATACATTGTTCATATTGTTTTGTAGTATTGCCAGGATATGATAGTCCAAAGAAGTCACAGATTCCTTCTGGACCTATTGAGATTACTTTGGATGGACCACAAATAATGAAGAAAAGGTATTTTGGGTTCTAATTAGTAGGGGAATGAATTGAAAACATCTCTTCAAAATGTTATTATCCTAATTAAGGAGACTGAAGGTTATGAAAATGGTTGTATGAATAAAATCAAGGAATTATGGTGTATAAATTTATGTTGCAAATTCAGTCGATGCAATTGTAAACATTCAAATGCAAAGAAACATTTCTTTAAATGCTGTTCATTATCCAAAAGTCACAGTCAATACATTAATGAAAGCTTAAACTTCATTTAAATTTCAAGATAGTCTAGATGTTGGTTATAACATCTCTCCATTGAAGAATACTAATTTCATAATCAGAATTTTATGAATGCCATTGGGCATCATGAAAAGTTTTTTAGAAGCCTTTTTCAGGTCCTGACTAGATTTTAGGATCTCATTGGAAGTGTTGAGCAGATTTTAAGGAGTTCATTTAATGTAAGGACCTGATCTTGATCGGCCCAATGTCACCTTTCAGGATTTTAAGATGACACAGTTCAATCATTGTCATAAAAAATAATGAGCAATTGACATTTACGAGTTTACTTAACCATAAAAAGAGACTCTACATGTATGGATAAGCTGCCTTTTGGGTCACCTAGTTCAAAGGTCCTTTGTGAGTTTTTTTTTCAAATTTTGGCATCTGTCATAATTTTACTTTTATAAATCCTTCTTCCAATAAAATGTTTTGCCAATTGGTATCAGACTTGGCCACAATTATTCTAAGGATATGTTGTTTAAAAGAATATGACAGATGATCTGACCTGCAGACCAACAAGGCTGACATATATAGCTAAACATAGAACATTGTGAGTAAAATGCTGTTGTGATATCTGCAAATCCATTATAGGTAGAGAAAATCTGACATGCGAGAATATGTTCAGAATGTCAAAATTGTCATTGCAGTAATTCCTAAGGAGTCAACTGTCTATTTCTACCATACTAATGTTTATTACCAGTAGGAAAAAATATTTTATTATCTTAAGTATAGTATTTTTAAAAATTGACATGTTTATTTTTTCAGGAAGAAGAAAACCTTTGATATTAAAGCGTACTTTCAGAGACTGTCAAACAGGTTCCAAAAAGAAGTGAGAGAAAATATTCATAAGGTATGATATAAAATGAAAATGATTTGCATTAAACTGACAAGCTGAGTCAGAATTTGAAAAAAAATGTTGCCTTCAAGGTAACATTTTGCAGGAAGATATGCCATCACAGCCAAACACTTTTACCTAACTCATTGGTCATGTAACCACCACATGCTTGACAGAGAAGCACCAAATACCAATTATAAAGTCTTGGTATGCATGCCTACCATGAGACTAGTGAAACGGTGTAAATTAACTTTACATTGTTGAATAAATATTTTCATATTTTTTTACTGAAATCTCCTTTCTTATCAATCATATTAGTAACATACTGGAGATTTCTTAAATTGGGTATCCCTTTCACCAGCAAAAAAAAATTATTTAACATTGTTTTTGTTTTATACATATATAGAGTTACAATTACACTAAAAAATATATCCAGAAAAAAAGAAATGTAGAGAATTTATAAGGATTAAAATTGGATCTTTTAACTGGTTACCTATGAATGTTAATAACTGTTGGTGTTTATATTAATCCTGAGTATATGGTGTACTCAACTTGTATTGGTAGTTTGTCAGTTACTTACTGAAGTGTATTATTATATGATTCTCTTGAACTTTTAATTCCATTACTTTTTATTTTTTACTCTGGTACAAATTTCACTTTTTGTAGAAAGTGGCATTTATTGTACTGTAAAAATTTGCATTAAATAGAAAAATGTGTAATTGTTTGAGTTTGAGGTTGTATTTCAATGCAGGTAATTTTTATTTGACCGCAAAAAATTTTTGTGGTCGTATATTGGTATGACGTCGTCGTCGTCGTCCGAAGACACATTAGTTTTCGCACAATAACTTTAGTTTAAGTGAATGGACCTCTATAAAATTTTACCATAAGGTTCAATACCACAAAAGGAAGGTTGGGATTGATTTTGGGGGTTATGGTACCAACAGTTAAGGAATTAGGGGCCAAAAAGGGGTCAAAAATAAGCATTTTTGTAACTTCTAGACAATAACTTGTGTTTAAGTGTATGGATCTCTCTGAAATTATACCACAAGTTTCCATACAACAAAGAGATGGTTAGGATGGGCTTTGGGGGGTTATGGCTCAATCCGTTTAGGAATTAGGGGCAAAAAAGGGGAAAAAACAAGGGTTTCCTGGTTAATGGACAATTTAAAAGCAGTGTAAGGGAGGTAATCCAAAAACAAAATTGTACAATGTTGTACAATGTTGGATTACCTCCCTTACACTGCTTTTAAATTATCTATTTAAGACTTTTATGATGTATTTAAATTGGTGATTATGGTTGCAAACTCCATTGGAAATTTGAATTGAGATTATGACCCAGTGCATTCATTAAGACCCGGTACGCGGTACTTTTACCCGCCTACGGAAGCATTTGGTACCGGCAGAAAAAATAAAATACAAAAAAAAAAATGTGTAAAATTCTTTTGAAGATCGTTCAAATCTAATTTCTTTCTTTCCTTGATAATCTCCGTTCTACGCCGTTCATGTGTATGTTTATAGGTGTCTTAGTCGAGGTCCGCGTTAAAGTATAGATCTATCTATTGCCAATTTAGGCACACCTCCAAAGTAGGAGAAGTGATAATTATAAACCATGTGTCTGTATCATTATCGTAAGAGCGCTTTAAAATGCGACGATTTAGCAGTATATTTTCAAGCGGCAAATTGTTGATGAATTTAAACAACAACAGCAATATTATGTCTAATAAAAGGAAAGCAGCTTGTATCACAGATTATTTTATGAATAAAAGGTTTAATAAAGGTGAACATTCTATGAAATTCAGAAAATCGTTAATCGTATAAAATCAGTTCGTTTCCCGTTGGACGTTGTCACTGATCTCCGTTTTCTCGATATGTGTTCTATGTTGTGATTGAAATTTTTAGTCTAAGACTTTGTGAAACAATCTGAATTAACACGGAAAATTTAAAGTGAAGCCAATATTTAATTGTTTTATTTCATTTTTGAAAAAAAAAGTAATAATTACTCTACAGGTGGCAGTCTGACAGATTCACGATATATGACACTAATTACTTACACAAACAATTGACACAGTTATGATTATAACAAAGCAATACAAAAAAGTTACAACAAGTTTTATTATCAATTCTTTTTAATAATATACTATGTTACGTGAACTTATGAAATTTCATTCACAAAATTGAACAAATGCAAAACATTTAATAAAAGACTAAAGTATAAAAACAAACAAAACATTTTAACAACATTTATACTTCCATGGTCATACATATTTTATAACTGATTACAAAATAATTATAAGCAATGTATTTTCAGATGATTACTCTAGAAAAAAAACAATTCAATGTTAACTTACCCAAAATTAAAGCAATTATTACAGATTTTACCCTTTTTAAGTAAAAAATTAAGGCTGAAATCCCTAAAATCCAGGAGATTCAGGGGGGCTTTGCCCCCCTGGCCCCCCTACCAGGGCTAGCCCTGGACCCACTGGGGGCCTTAAGCGGCCCCCACACCCCTCGCCATTTGGGTTTGGTTCACCCTATAATCTCAAAGGTACCTCCAGTCTAAAAAAATAATGAAACCCCTGATGACCATATCTTGAAGGAAAGAATTTTTTTTTTCATTTCAGATTTCAGAAATTAAAAAGAAAATTTCTTCAAATATTTTTTTTTAGCAACAGCATAGTGTATTGCACAAAAGCAAAAAATTGAATATAAATTCAAATCATATAACCAATTCTAAGTTCTTTGACTACAGTTATTCTGTGTCAGAAACCTATTATGTGTCAAATATTTAATTACAATCCAAATTCAGACCTGTGTCAAGCGCGAATATTGTGTCCATTTTCGCCCCAACTGTTCAGGGTTGAACCTCTGCGGTCGTATCCAGCTGCACTCAGCGAAGCATTTTATTAATGTTTAATGTCTTATTTTTTTATTGCAGGTTCAATTCATGTGTTTGTTATCGCGAGGGATGTTTTTAAACAGACTATGTGAAGATGACACCATTAAAGCCTTTGCCTTGTCTGTCTTGCCTAACCAGTTTACTACGGTATCCAAGAAAGCTTTTAACATTAACTTATTGGGCAGGATCTTAATCTGGTATAAAGAAAAATTCCCTATCATGACAAAAAATACCATGAAGGAACTTTGTGTGGTGAGTATAAGCTTTAATTGGTACAATCCCAATTGATGGAGGCACCTCTCAACAACAGTGCTGTTATTCAGATTCTAATGCGTTACAAAAAGAAAAAAATTTGTTAGAGCTTGGAAAAAATGTATGAATTTCAAATAAAATAAAATTCTGCGAAATTTTATGAATGATTTTGGTGCATAAATGTCATGGCTAACTAAACATGATGTCACACAAAAGAAATCTTTCGAACTGAAGGTTATAATAACGTTATTTCTACAATTAAAATTTTGATAATATTACATCAAAACAGTGTTTTTGAGGTAGATGTTGTTTTATTTTCCATTATATTGTAGTAATCTAACATTTGTTAATTCAAGCATTCAATATGGTTGCTTACTCCTTAGTTACAATATGTCAACTGTGGATTTGACAGTAAATTTTAGCCAATAAAAAAAATTGTTCCATAAAAATCACATTTGAATTATTAATTACAAACTTAAGATACAGAACTGCATTTTTAGTAAAATCATAAAAACATTTTATGAAAGGTTTTGATTTTCCATCCAAGAAAGAATTTTGTGTTTATAGAAATGCTGTATTGATGCAAGGTATTTATTAAAGTGAAAATGCAACTGATGATTATCTAAAAATTAGATTTAGCATTTTTTATTTTATGATTGTAATACTTACTACAATATATACAGGAACCACATTTGTTTAAAATCTTTGGTCAGAAAAAGGAATTTTTTTGGAATGATAGAAAAATCCATACACTTGTGTGATGTTCTGTTGATTGGCATACATAGAATTGTCATCTGAACAGAAAAATATTACTATTTACAGAGAGAAAGATTAGTAGAAAGCTTCAGATCTTCAACAGTGATGTCCTATCTAGAAAGAACATTGGTGAGTAAAAAGCAGGTTTAGCAATCTACATGTATCTAGAGAGATGTTATGCAAAATTTCATTCTATTTTATGAGTTCAAATAAAAAAAAATTTGTCCTATATAGACAAAATATTGTCAAATGAATGCGCAACAAAAGTAATAAATAATTTAAAGGAGATAAGAAAATGTATGAAAGAAAATATTAAAACACAGTTTTGTTGTATCTACAATATCTGGAAGTCAGTACATGTACCAAAAAAATGATGAATCCCCATTTTCAAAAAGAGTTAAATTATTTTGAAGTTGCCTTGGCGCATAATTTTTTTTAAGTGTATAGAACTCTGCATTTTATTTCAATTCAATGGTGTGAAGTTATCCACATATAAATATTATATAGCCAGTTTGTAAGAATTTATATATTTTTCAGGTATTAATTATACTGTTGAGAAATTTAGGTTTAATAACTAGACTTGTGATGTCTATACAACCAATGCCATTGAAACCTAAGGTAAGACTTTATGTTAACTCTGATAGTATTTTTATGCCCTGCTTATGATAGTAGGGGTCCAACTATTTTCCAATATGTGTGTGACCCTCTGTCTGTATCAGGTTAAATATTTGGTTTTAGGCAGGTTACCATGAAGCTGTGATCACACCAACTTAAAACTTAGTATACATGTTCATTAATATTTCAACTTTTTAAAATGTATGCCAAATTAAGGTTTTTGACCAGAGCAGTGCATAGTGTCTAATGGTCATTCATGTTCTTCCTAGATTTGAATTTCATGGTCTGTAGAAATAGTGAATCTTGATTTTTTTTTCAGTGTCAGTCTCTGACATAACAAATGATAAATGGGTGGAAAATATGTTTTCATGTTGTATTAAACATATGCTTTTGATATAGCCTGAATTCTCATAACATTCAATACAGATATTTCAAATAACTAATAAAAAAATTTATGAGATCTACTTCCATTTCTGCTCACACTTTAAACAACAGACAAATTATTGATTGTATTGTAACTGCAAATCCTGAGATTTCAAAAGAATCTTGTTTCAATTTCTATATACAGTCGAACCTTGTTATGTCGAAGTCGAAGGGACGGAACCAAAGTATTCGACTTATCCGAGGTTCGACTCATCCTAGGTTGAGTGTGTCGTCATTAATTTGGAATGCATGAAATACGTTATGAGATTTGTGTAAACCAGATACTTTGAACAGTGTGCCTTTTTTCGATATGACACTTTTTGATTGTGTATTCAATCTCCATATTTTTTGGTCCTTCATATTAATTAAACACACAAGTACAGATACAAATCATGCACAACAAAAAATTATACATTGACGGGACTATACAATTTTCTCGACTTAACCAAGTATCCGAATCAACCGAGTTCGACTCATTAGAGGTAATTATGCATTGATCAAACAGGAATTTTACCGGGACAGAGAAATTACTTTGACTCGTCCGTGTTTTCGACATAACCAAGTTCGACACAATGAGGTTCGACTGTATATAATATTGTATTATGAATTAAAGTAAGAATAATTTAATGTTTTAAATTTATTTGTGTTTATTTTGAACAATTTTTTCAGGATACAACCAAAAAATCTGGAAAAGAAAGTAACGTAAGAACCAAAAAGGTTTCTGAAAAGAATTCCAAAAATTCCAAGACTGTACATAACAAGTCTGCAAAGGTTCTCTCAGGGAAATCCAGAAAAGGAAGTAAAAAGAAACATAGTAATGAAAGTGATTCTACAGAATCTGAATATTTTAAAAAGAAAGACAAAAAGCTACGGTCAAGAGGATCAAAGGTCAAACCTCAAAGTTACAAAGGTTGTGATAATGAGGATGAAGATTCAGAATCTGAGGATGAGTTAATTCCAAGTAGTGAAAGTGAAGAGGATAAACCTAGAAGTAGAAGTAGTAAACAAAAGAAGGCTGGGAAGAGAAAAGTGAAAAAAGAAAAGACTGACGATAGTCAAGAAGGGTAGATTTCTGTTATATTGTTGATAAATGGTAATAGGGCATGAATGAAAAAAAGATTAAACAATTTAAGTCCCTTTTTTGTAAATCATACAAAAAAATTCTAAAGAAAAAACTGCCCTTTGAATTTAGAAAATTTTAATAACTAGAATCAGAAGTTTCTAGTTATACTTTTTTTCATAATTTGAGATATACTTTTTTCATAATTTGAGATATACTTTTTTCATAATTTGAGATGTTCTAGTTTGGAAGTATCTATAAATTATTCATGAAAGTTAGTTTTATTGTCAATAGAAATATTCATTATTTGAAAATGAGGCATCAAAATTTAATTTTGATGTTGAATTGTGACTATTTTTAAACTGAGTAAACAACTTTTGAGATATTATGTTTGCTTCTGATTTTTATTGATAAAAAATATGTTGTAAGCAGATGCATGCACTTAAAGTAAGAGTTGACCAGAACTGGTCATGTAATTAGTTTATAGCTGGTTGTGCAATGTTCTTTTTCTAGATCTTTGAAATAAATTAAGTCCCTAATATGCAGAAAATAAAACGATTTTATGCTGATTTTAGATATTTATGCACATCATCTATAACTAATGAGCATTTTATCACTATACTAAATATAATGTCTTTTTACAGTACTTTATTTTGGTTCAGTGTTTACTTTATTTATTTTAGTTCTGATGATGATTTTGAAGAAGAGAGTTTTACTCCTAGGAGTCCTGTTAATTTATTAAGGAAATTTGTGGAAAAAAACAAAAACAGAAAAATTCTATCATCAGACTCGGATATTGAGGAGGACACAGGCAAGTAGTCATATTATTTTCAGCTATTTTTGTAACTATATGTAGCAGCAAATTTTAGGGTAAATTCCTACAGGTGTGAGTTCATTTCAGATTACCTACATTTGACATAGATTATTATAAAAATGACAGTTTTCTTGTGTGTCGCCAGCTTGCTTTTAAGATACTTTATTATTGTATTGTGTTAGTAGCAGTTCACAGGAGACTATTGTATTGACATAATGCAGCTACTTGAAACTGTTATAGGCAGGTAAGATCATTGAACATTTTGTATGTTTAAAATTACAATTGCTTCTATTATCAAACATTTTGAGTACTCTCATGGGAGAAATTTCATATAAAAAAAAATCCTTGTTTTTTGTTGTCATCCTTTAGCTAAATGTACCAAAAAATAGTGACAACACTAAAACTTAAACATATTTCTTTTGTTGTAGGTTGTGACATTTGGACAGAGGTGTTCCTAGAATCAGAGGATAAGTGGTTATGTAAGTTATGTATAAATAGATTGGAAAGTTGAGTTGATAAATAGAATTTTACACTGAATTAAGGTAGAAAGGTTCTATGATTTGTATACAAATGAAAAGATAGAGAGAAGTCTGTGGCTAAAAGAAGAAAAGACAAACAAGTCCATAAAACGCTGTACCGTACTGCACAGAAAACTAAAAATTAAGCATCATGAACCCCAACAAATACCATGTGTGAACTCTATGCTTAAGTAGGGTAAGCAATTCCTGCTTCATTAGTGTCAGATTTTCCTGAATTAATTTTGATGAAACAAACATATAGATTAATTTACTTAATTGGGAAAAAAAAAACTTTTTACTATATTGGGGTAAACAGTCTGTGAGGAATAAAGTGAAAAATAGGGTCAAAATGTCATTGGTTTTGCTTAAGCAGTAATTAAGATTCTATATTTTTTGTGGAGTTATAATTGTGTAGATAGTGCAATATAATGTAGAGGAAAATATTTATGGTTATTCCTGTAAGGTAAAGCTTCTCTTCAGACCTCTATGATTTTATTTTGCAGGAGTTTCATTCCTTGCTGGTTTGACAAACCTTTCATAATACCTTTAATTATTGTTACATTTATGTCAGTTTTGTCAGAATGAAGGAATAATGAAAAACGTGTGAGGATTAAAATCAGACGTGATTCTTTGGGCTTGAGACAAAATATCCCATGATACATGAAGATACTCAACTATGCAGGACAAAAATCTTCCATTTTATAAAATGAAAGAATTTGGGCAAACTTGCTGTGTCTTGAAACACAACACCTGACAAGATGTCGTCTATATCATAGCAACAATTTTGAAACAAACTTTATGATATAGATAACCTCTTGTCAGGGGTTGTGTTTCAAGACACAGCAAGTTTGCCCAAAGTCTTTCATTATATAAAATGGAAGATTTTTGTCCTGCATAGTTGAATATCTTCATGTATCATGGATTATGTTAAACATTATTTTAGGTATTGACTGTATGGACTGTCGGGTAAACAAGCCACATGTGATAGAAAGCCAGGTCACTAAACCTCTTCACTATGTCCTCTCATTTGATAATGGTATGATAAAGATCATTTTTATAGTTTTATAGTTTTGTTGTTCACATAGAATTTGTATCTTCACCATGCATTTTTAATTTTATTTTAAATACAAATACTGCAAATATTGAAATCATGAAACCATAACCAAACTCTCTGTATCGGTCTAAATGATATTGGTTTTTGTCTCACCTTGACGCAGTCATAAAGCGAGACATAGGTATTCTGTTTCTAGCGGTGGCGGCGGCTACAATGTACTAGTTTGTGATTAGGTCTAGTTTATGGTGAAGCACTATTGGTAGGTCAATGATATTTGGTATGCAGTTGTATTAGCATTGGCACATCTCATTTCCATGGAAATTCTTTGGCCCTGCCAACTCAGTGATGGACTATTGACTTTGAAATTTGCTTAGTTTACATGTATAAGTTTGTGATTAGGTCAGTTTATGGGGAACCTCTAGTTATTGGTCAATAATATTTGGTGTGCAGTTGTATAAGCATTGGCATATCTCATTTCCATGGAGATTATTTGGCCCGTCCCCTCAGTCATGGTCTATCGACTTTGAAACTTTTTATACGACTGCAAAAATTAAAAAATTTTTGGTCGTATATTGGTATCACGTTGTTGTCGTCGTCAGCGTCGTCCGAAGACATGGTTTCCGGATAATAACTTTAGTATAAGTAAATAGAAATCAATAAAATTTTAACACAAGGTTTATAACCACTAAAGGAAGGTTGGGATTGATTTTGGGGGTTATGGTTCCAACAGTTTAGGAATTAGGGGCCAAAAAAGGGGCCCAAATAAGCATTTTTGTAGTTTCCAGACAATAACTTGTGTTAAAGTGTATGAATCTCTCTGAAATTATACCACAAGTTTCCATACTACAAAGGGATGGTTAGGATTGACTTTGGGGGGTTATGGCTCAAACCATTTAGGAATTAGGGGCAAAAAAGGGGGGAAAACAAGGGTTTTTCTGGTTAAAGGACAATTGAGACAGTTAAAAGCAGTGTGAGGGAGGTAATCCAAATCAAAATCCAAATCAATTTAGATAACAATGTTTGATTACCTCCCTTACACTGCTTGTAAATTATGTATTAAGAAATGATGATCGTCTGAGATACTGACCATAACTTGAGGGAAAGAATTATTTTTTGGAATAAGGGAAAGGGGGAGGTGAAAAAAATTGGAGGGGGACAATTTTTCTCATTTCAGATTTCAGAAATTAAATGAAAATTTCTTCAAATATTTTTTTTTTGGGGGTTAATATTCAACAGCATAGTGTATTGCACAAACGCAAAAAAACGGGGTAATTTTTTTTTTTTTTGGGGGGGGGGGGGGTCGATTCACATAGTGTATTGCACAAAAGCAAAAAATTGAATATAAATTCAAATCATATAACCAATTTGAACAATTTGAAGTTCTTTGACTACAGTTATTCTGTGTCAGAAACCTATTATGTGTCAAAAATTTAATTACAATCCAAATTCAGACCTGTATCAAGCATGAATATTGTGTCCATTTTGGCCTCAACTTTTCAGGGTTGGACTTCTGCGGTCGTATACAGCTGCGCTCAGCAAAGCAATTTATTCTTAGTGTACATGTATTAGTTTGTGATTAGGTCAGTTTAAGGGGAACCATTAGTGGTAGGTCAATGATAATTGGTATGCAGTTTTATAAGCATTAGTACATCTCATTTCCTTGGAGAATATTTGGTCCTTACCCCTTAGTCATGGTCTATTGACTTTGGAACTTTTGCTTAGTTTACATGTATAAGTTTGTGATTAGATCAGTTTAAGATGAACCACTAATGTTAAGTCAATGATATTTGGTATGCAAACGTATTGGCATTTGCAAATCTCATTTCCATGTAGATTGTATAGCCCAACCCACTCACCATGGTTCATTGACTTTGAAACTTTTACATAGTTTACAAGTTAATGTTTGTGTTTAGGTATTTTTAAAGGGAACAACTTATGCTAAGTCAATGGTATTTCGTATGCAGTTGTATTAGCATTGGCACATCTCAGTTCCATGGAGATTGTTTAGCCCTGTACTTTCAGTCATGGTTCATTGACTTTGAATATTTGCATAACTTACATGTTAAAGTATTGCTATTTTAATTTCAATATTTGCATTATCAAAATAACAAAAAGGCGAGACATATCTCTGTGTTAACAGTTTATTTTATAGAATAATAATGATTTTAGTGGATTGCAAATTTTATGGATTTCATATACTATTCAGAACACCAATTTCTCAATTTTATTGTATTTTCCAATGTTTATGGAAAGAACATGTGTCAAATTCCAAGAAACATCCCTAATACCTGTCAGTTATTTTCATGCCAAGAAAACACAAACCCATCAGTGATTTAACTCAGTATTTCTGTTTTATAGACAGATACATAAAAGACCTAACACCAAGATATGCCTCTAAATGGTTGACAGAGACTAGGAAATTAAGAATTAAAGATGACTGGTTGCAGGATACCTTAGCTCCATACAGAAGTCCAGATGTAGATATCCATTCTAAAGAAGATAATGATATTCAAGGTTTTCAAATGATTAGAGGATAAAACTTGAACAAACAAAGAGGGGAAGAATATTAATTGGGAGTTTATCTTTGGTTAAATATGAAAATAAGAAAATGTGGTATGATTGACAGTGAGAAATCTATACATAAACCCCAGAAGACAAAGATATGAAGATTCCTTGTCTGAATTTTTATAGCCCTCTTTCCTTCATCAAAAATCAGGAAAGAAATTCAATTTTAAAAAGGTTAGTAAAATGGTCTTGGGGGTATGCATCAAAGAGAGAGCATTCAAAGGACGCCACAAAAAAAAGACATCTAGTCCAGTTATTACGGTAATGTATGCCATAGTTAGCTTGAAATTTCTATCAAATTTAACTCAGGATTCATATGAGAGCATCCTGGAATTTTTTATTAGGCTTTATGTGAACATGCTATATTGTGTGATGTATTTTCAGATTCATCACTCATCAACTTCCTGTTAATCAAAAGCTTTTATATTGTTGCACATGATAACCTTTTATGAAATTTTCCTTAACTTTTTCTAGGGAACTATAAATAAGAGCTTACTTAAAACTTCATGTTAACATGCTTTACAGTATAATGCATTTTCATATTCATCACTCATTAACTTCATGTTTACCCTATACTTGCATATTCTGACAAATAATGACCATGTGTGAAATTTTTGTCACATTTTTCTCAAGACCTACAAATCAAACCACCCTGAAATTTGGTATCAACATTTATGTGAGAATGATATACTGTGTGATGAGTAGCGCAGTAGTAGTATATAGATATAAAAAGATGTGGTATGAGTGCCATTGAGACAACTCTCCATCCAAGTCAAAATTTATAAAAGTAAACCATTATAGGTCAAAGTACGGTCTTCAACACAGAGCCTTGGCTCACATCGAACAGCAAGCTATAAAGGGCCCCAAAAATTACTAGTGTAAAACCATTCAAACGGGAAAACCAACGGTCTAATCTATATAAAAAAACGAGAAACAAGAAACACTTATGAACCACATCAACAAACGACAACTACTGAACATCAGATTCCTGACTTAGGACAGGTGCTATAGTTGATATCATATACATGTATAAATAACTTATTCACTAAACCCAGATTTTGTAGTTGTCATGGTTTTGTCATACACACTGCAAATATCTTCATTTAATAGCTATATTTCTGCTCAAAGATTATATTGCAAATCTCTTTGGCAATATTTGAAATAATTATTTCTTTTTACGTGAATATAATTTGATGATAATATTTTCAGCAAGACTTATTTCTCAGCCAGTCCCTAAAAGTATGTCAGAATTGAAGAGTCATCCATTGTAAGTACATTTTACTTTTTTTTGATACTGTGATATTTTAAACTATTGACAGCTTTTCATGATGCACATTGTATAGTTAGCTATACCCCAAAAATTGATTGGTTAAATTTCATAGAGGCTTCGCAACAGTTAGCTACTATAATAAATTATCTGGTGTTAAGTTTTATGTGCTTCAGATAGCTATGAATATGGGTAGTTGATTGGTTGCAATGTTGTTTTAAACTTTTATTGCAATTTTTTGGCTAAACAATTATATGTTTTTCAGATATGTCTTGAAAAGACATCTACTAAAATTTGAAGCACTATATCCTAATTCAGCCATACCTGTTGGTTACATAAAGGATGAACCTATTTATGCCAGAGAATGTGTCCATGTTGTAAGTACAAAATGTAATATATATATAAAGGAAATATTTATGCCTTTGATAATATTTGACAAAAATGTTGTTTTTTTTTGTTATCCAAAAATGTTAAAAAATGGAACATGATGTTTACATACAGTCAGACCATCTTTCTGTGTGTTGGTCATTTCCGTTTCAAGAAGGCTAACTCAAATACTTCAATAGATAATAGCCTTTCTTGGAAATATGATCACATTTAATGAGAGAAAGATCTCTATTAATTTTCACTATGTCTAAGGTCAAGGTCAATGCTACTAAAAATAAATTTGAATTTGTGTAGAAAAGTAGTTTCCAGATGCTAAATCAGATACTTTGTATGCAACTGCAACCTAACTTGGATATGTGATCACATGTTATGAAGGAAGATCCCAATTGATTTTGAGGTTAATACTTTAAAGGTTAAAGTCAAAGTTCCTTCATAGACCTTCATCAGAGGCCAAATAATCGATTAATTGTTTTAAATAGTGTCTTTACTTTTGATGTTGGATTAAAATGTGTAAAAACAATAAAACCATCAAAACAAATCATCATTGGGTTTTTCAACTTTTGGCAGACATGAAGTGCCAGTAACAACAGTAGACCAGGTTCCTGAACTGGCACACAAATTCATATGGCAGGGATCTTTGTAAATATATATATCACACAAGACTCACTACTATAGTTAGAGTATCTCTTCAAACCTGATATTACTCTTGTGTTGAATTTATATTACAGCTACATTCCAGAGAGAACTGGTTAAAGGAAGGGAGAGCAGTCAGAGTATGTATCAATAAAGTATTGACTTAAGTAGTTATGTTACTTTGTTATTCCTTCAAGTACATTAAATAAATTTATTTTTCATCATTCTCATTAAAATGCTTGATATTATTTGAAGAAATATAAAATAGTAAATACATAGAAAAAGAATTAATGTTCCTTTCAGACTTAACATTACAATAATTCCTGACGTAACTGAACCAATTTGGGACTGATAATATTTTGTGCAGTAAACACAGGTTAAATTAATAATAATATTCACTGTTTGTCTTGATACAAGATAAATATAAAAATAAGAAGATGTGGTATGATTGCTAATCAGACAACTCTCTACCAGAGACCAAATGATGTAGAAGGTTAGCAACTATAAGTCACCATATGGCCTACAACAATGAGCAAAACCCATACCGCATAGCAAGCTATAATATACCACAAAATGACAAATGAAACATAAATAAAACGAGAAAAACAATAAACAAAAAAAGAAACATATATGATAAACAGCAACAAATGACAACCACTGAATAATAGGCTCCTGCCAGGAGTTCAATTAAGACAGGCAATAGATTGAAAAAATTATAGGTTTTAAAGGTTGCTAAGGTATAAATGCAATATAACCTGTATTATAATCTCTCTTTATACTCTTCCATCCTTTATTTTATTGTGAGATGTAAAATTGATATCACTTTGTATACACAATATCTTCTTCACAACAAATTAATGAGTGAGTTATTATTTCTCAACAGGTTGGTGAAGAAGCCTACAAAATGGTTAAATCAAGAGTACGCTGGGTGAGTTGACAATCAGATTTTAACAAAAAGTGCTTAGGGGAACATTTTATTATTTTAAATTTTGTCTGATATTGCACAGACAGTAGTTACAGATCATATATTAGGTTTGGTTATGGTTGAACTGGTTGGAAAAAGATGTGTGTCCTGTAAAATTGTTCTATTCTGTTACAATGATTTACAAATTGTTGTAACATTTTTAGCTCACCTGGCCCAAAGGGCCAAGTGAGCTTTTCTCATCACTTGTCGTCCGTCGTCGTTTACTTTTACAAAAATCTTCTCCTCTGAAACTACTTGGCCAAATTAAACTAAACTTGGCCACAATTCATATTGGGGTATTTAGTTTAAAAAATGTGTCCGGTGACCCGGCCAACCAACCAAGATGGCCGCCATGGCTAAAAATAGAACATAGGGGTAAAAGGTAGATTTTGGCTTATAGCTCTGAAACCAAAGCATTTAGAGCAAATCTGAAACAGGGTAAAATTGTTTATCAGGTCAAGATCTATCTGCCCTGAAATTTTCAGATGAATCAGACAACCCGTTGTTGGGTTGCTGCCCCTGAATTGGTAATTTTAAGGAAATTTTGCCGTTTTTGGTTATTATCTTGAAAATTATTATAGATAGAGATAAAATGTAAACAGCAATAATGTTCAACAAAGTAAGATCTACAAATAAGTCAACATGACCAAAATGGTCAGTTGACTCCTTAAGGAGTTATTGTCCTTTATAGTCAATTTTTAACCATTTTTCGTAAATTTTTGTAATCTTTTACCAAAATCTTCTCCTCTGAAACTACTTGGCCAAATTAAACCAAACTTAGCCACAATCATTATTGGGGTATTTAGTTTAAAAATTGTGTCCGGTGACCCGGCCAACCAAACAAGATGGCCACCATGGCTAAAAATAGAACATAGGGGTAAAATGTAGATTTTGGCTTATATCTCTGAAACCAAAGCATTTAGAGCAAATCTGACATAGGATAAATTGTTTATCAGGTCAAGATCTATCTGCCCTGAAATTTTCAGATGAATCGGACAACCCGTTGTTGGGTTGCTGCCCCTGAATTGGTAATTTTAAGGAAATTTTGCAGTTTTTGGTTATTATCTTGAAAATTATTATAGATAGAGATAAACTGTAAACAGCAATAATGTTCAGCAAAGTAAGATCTACAAATAAGTCAACTTGACCAAAATGGTCAGTTGACTCCTTAAGGAGTTATTGTCCTTTATAGTCAATTTTTAACCATTTTTTCGTAAATTTTTGTAATCTTTTACAAAAATCTTCTCCTCTGAAACTACTTGGCCAAATTAAACTAAACTTAGCCACAATCATTATTGGGGTATTTAGTTTAAAAAATGTGTCCAGTGACCCGGCCAACCAACCAAGATGGCCACCATGGCTAAAAATAGAACATAGGGGTAAAATGTAGATTTTGGCTTATATCTCTGAAACCAAAGCATTTAGAGCAAATCTGAAACAGGGTAAAATTGTTTATCAGGTCAAGATCTATCTGCCCTGAAATTTTCAGATGAATCAGACAACCCGTTGTTGGGTTGCTGCCCCTGAATTGGTAATTTTAAGGAAATTTTGCAGTTTTTGGTTATTATCTTGAAAATTATTATAGATAGAGATAAACTGTAAACAGCAATAATGTTCAGCAAAGTAAGATCTACAAATAAGTCAACATGACCAAAATGGTCAGTTGACTCCTTAAGGAGTTATTGTCCTTTATAGTCAATTTTTAACCATTTTTCTGTAATTTTTGTAATCTTTTACAAAAATCTTCTCCTCTGAAACTACTAAGACAAATTTAACCAAACTTGTCCACAATCATCATTAGGGTATCTAGTTTAAAAATGTGTCCTATGACCCTGCCCGCGAACCAAGATGGCCGACATGGCTAAAAAATAGTACATGGGTAAAATGCAGTTTTTGGCTCATATCTCTGAAACCAAAGCATTTAGAGCAAATCTGACGAGAAAAAAATAGTTCATTAGGTCTACATCTATCTGCCCTGAAATTTTCAGACCAATCAGGCAACACGTTGTCCGGTTGCTGCCCCTGAATTGGTAATTTTAAGAAAATTTTGCAGCTTTTGGTTATTATCTTGAATATTATTATAGATAGAGATAAACTGTAAACAGCAATAATGTACAGCAAAGTAAGATCATCAAATAAGTCAACATGACCAAAATTGTCAATTGACCCCTTAAGGAGTTATTGCCCTTTATAGTCAATTTTTTACAATTTTCATAAATTTTGTAAATTTTTGTAAATTTTTACAAAATATTTTCCACTGTAACTACTGGGCCAAGTTCATTATAGATAGAGATAATAGTAAGGAGCAAGAATGTTCAGTACAGTAAGATCTACAAACACGTCACCATCACCAAAACACAATTTTGTCATGAATCCATCTGTGTCCTTTGTTTAATATGCACATAGACCAAGGTGAGCGACACAGGCTCTTTAGAGCCTCTAATTATTTATATGGAAAAATTGCTTATTCATACTTTGAAAGGCTTAGTAGGATTGAGTATCACTTTTCTAGAAATTCCATCCTTTTACCATGCCTTATCATTGAATAGTCATTTATGCTTATATAAAATTAAAACTTTGTGCACTGTAGTTGTATATTATACCAAACTGTAAATGTCAAATGTTTTCAAAGGATTCAGACTTTATTATTGGTTTTTAGAGTGAATACTGAAGATTTACCTTAAATATAAAACAGCTTGTACTGTGTCAGTCAAGTTTACCTTTAATATAAAACAGCTTGTACTGTGTCAGTCAAGTTTACCTTAAATATAAAACAGCTTGTACTGTGTCAGTCAAGTTTAACAAATGTTACCAAATTCTTTTTCAGTTTATTCAAAATATTTTTTAATTAAAGATATAATAATTGGAGAATAAATTGGTAGTATGATATTCAAAAAATGTGTGTTGTCATGTTCAGTATTGGACAGATTACAGTGGTTATAAGTGCTGAGGTTTAACTGTAAACTGGAGAGGGGTGCATGATAATGAACAATAATGATTGTATTTGAACACTTCTGTATTTTACAGAAACATAAGAAAGAAAACCCAGATGCATTAGACCTGGAAATATTTGGTCACTGGCAGACAGAGGTGTATATACCTCCACCAGCAGTTAATGTACGTTTATTTTGGCAACCTGATGTTCTTGATTTGTTGTATAAATAAAATTTCACTACTTTAATCTTTATAATGTAATAAAATATAGAAAAGAAAAATTCTGTATGAAATTTGACTGTATATTCCAAGAGCATAGCAGTCATTTTAGCACAGAAGAGCTGTTAACAGCAACTTGAAAGTACAGTTCATTACAAGCACTTATTGTGGGTTCATTAGTATTTGTGGGATGTTTCAGGGGAATAGGTAAACCACAAATTTAAAGGTACAGGAATGTCGATTTTTTGTGAAATTTAGATCAGAATACATTGGCTGAGTTATGATCAATAATCAAAATATTCTACAAGAATGACCATGTTATAATATTTCAGGGAAAAGTACCAAGAAATGGTTATGGAAACATAGAGTTATTCATGCCGTCTATGTTACCTGCTGGAACAGTCCATCTCAAGTGTAAGTTATTGAAACTGAATTTGATATAAATGTTTTATTCTATTATGATATGTTTTATTTTATGATGTTATGTTTTATTCTATTATTATATGTTTTATTTTAAGATGTTAATTTTTATTCAGTCGTATTATATGATTTTCTGACATTATTTTTTATTGGCATTTGCAAAAGGCATCAGCAAAAATGCAGTATCAATTAATAAGGAGTGGGATTATCATAATTATTTTGATAATTATATTTTTCAGTGCCTGGATTAAATAAAGTTGCTAAGAAGTTAGACATAGATTGTGTAGCTGCCATGACTGGCTGGGATACACATTGTGGATATTCACATCCTTTGTAAGATATTTATATAGTATTCAAGTGATCCAAATGTCTTTACTTATGATATGTTTAATTGCCTTAAACAAACGAAGGTCTTCCTAAATCTATGAGGTTTAAATTGCATCTTTGAGGCATTGGCATCCTTGGTTTGATCCTATTATTCTTTCAAGCTTCAATTTAAGGATGTTCACTGATCTTATTTTTGATTTTTTGTTCAGATATTTAAAATTCTCTGGTTTTTATACGTCCGTTTACGGGACGTATTATGGTATACCGTTGTCCGTCTGTCCATCCGTCCGTCTGTCCGTCCATTGTCAACATGTCGGACATTAACTTAAAAGCGCTTTAACCAATTTGCATAAAATTTTGGTGAATTGTTGATATCTATTGACGTGAGCTCCCTTTCGTTTTTTATAAATTTTAGATTTTACGTTTCCGAGTTATGGGGTTTTATTCATTAAAAAAAAAGGGGATTTTCCAGTTTTCGGAAATATGTCAAATATTTAATTACAATCCAAATTCAGACCTGTATCAAGCTTGAATATTGTGTCCATTTTTGCCCCAACTGTTTAGGGTTGGACCTCTGCGGGCGTATCCAGCTGCGCTCAGCGAAGCAGTTTATTATCCATGAAGTGGCATTAAAAATTTGCTAGTTAACCCCTTCTTTTCTTTTCATAATTTTATAATATTTAGTTTGAAAAGCCGTTTTTTTAAATCTTATAAAATCCTTGTTATGTTTTCATAGTTTTTGTGCCCCCGCCTTAGTGGAGGGGGCATTAAGTTTTACCGTTGTCTGTCTGTACGTACGTCCATACGTCCCAAAATTGGTTTCTGTTCTCTAACTTGAGTTTGCCTCAACCAAATGTTAAGATCAAGTTTGAATATTGGTGGCGTCACTTTAACCGTTCTAGAGTTATGCCCCTTTATAAATGGAAAAATTGCAAAATTTTTAGTTTCCGTTCTCTAACTTAAGTTTGCCTCATTCAAATGTTATGAAACTTATACACAATGCTTATTACCACAAAATAAAGATCAAGTTTGAATTTTGGTGGGGTCACTTTAATCATTATCGAGTTATGCCCCTTTATAAATCGAAAAATTGCAAAATTTTTAGTTTCTGTTCTGTAACTTAAGTTTACCCCAACCAAACATTATGAAACCTATACACAATACCTTAAAACTCAGATCAAGTACAAATTTGGGTAGTGTCACTTTTATCATTCTTGAGTTATGTCCCTTTATAATGTTGTATGCAAGCGGGGGCATCATCTGTGTCCATGGGGACACATTCTCCATTTATTTAAGAAATGTGTAGCTAATGTTAAGTTAATGAAAGGTCTACAGAGAATCATTTTCTGCCATATTTTCAATGGCTTTTATCTCAAAAACTATTTTTTTTGCTTTTTAGCTCACCTGGCCGAAAAGCCAAGTGAGCTTTTCTCATCACTTGGCGTCTGTTGTCCGTCATCGTAATCTTTTACAAAAATCTTCTCCTCTAAAACTACTAGGCAAAATTTAATCAAACTTGGCCATGATTATTATTGGGGTATACTGTTTAAAAAGTGTGTTCAATGACCCTGCTGCCAACCGAGATGGCCAGCATGGCTAAAAATAGAGGATAGGGGTAAACTGCAAGTTTTGTCTATTATCTTGAAATCCGCTATGAACAGAGAAAATCTTACAGGGTCAGAAATGTTGAGAATGTTGACTTACATCTAGAAATTGACAATGAGGGTCGGTTGAAAACAAAACTTTACGACAAAAGAGATGATTTAGCTTCCCAATCGTGAACTTTCCATTTCTATGTAGCAACATTCCAGCAGCGCCTGCATACGGAGTATATATCTCCCAATTGATACATATTCCTGGGCTTGTATTTCCTATCATGATTTCCTTGATAGAGGATTGCTGCTCACAAGGAAGCTATTAAACCAAGAGTTCCAAATGGTGAAGTTGAAATCATCCCTTCCTAAATTTTACGGACGCCATCACGAGTTGGTTGACTGTTATGGAATAACCGTTTCACAGAAGATATCGGATATGTTCCTTATGTCGTAACTACAATACCCTTCCTTTTTCACGAATGTGACCTAATGAATTAGACTATTTACTGGATTTGTAATAACATAAGCAACAAGACGGGTGCCACATGTGGAGCAGGATATGCTTACCCTTCCGGAGCACCTGAGATCGACCCCAGCTTTTGGTGGGGTTCGTGTTGCTTAGTCTTTAGTTTTCTATGTTGTGTCATCTGTACTATTATTTGTCTGTTTGTCTTTTTATTTTTGGCCATGGCGTTGTCAGTTTGTTTTCGATCTGTGAGTTTGACTGTCCCTCTGGTATCTTTCGTCCCCCTTTGAGATCTACGGGGATCTCCATGTCCTGTTTAATGATGGCATACCGCCATCGTTAAATTATCTTCCTCCATCGTCAAATGATCCCCCCAATCGTTAAATTATCTTCCTCCATCGTCAAATGATCCACCCCATCGTTAAATTATCTTCCGCGATCTTCAAATGATCCCCGTCATTGTTAAATAACTGCACTTTGATTAAAAGTTGTAGTCAAAATTTTTTTTTTTCGTTTGCCACCGCCATTTTTGTTAGCAATTATAATCAATTGCTTGTTATTGCATAACCCTTATTGTATTATAATCCAAAGTGTCCTCCAGATTACTGTTTTATACGACCGCAAAAAAATTTTGTGGTCGTATATTGGTATCACGTCGTCGTCATTGTCCGAAGACAGTGGGTTTCCGGACAATAACTTTAGTATAAGTTAATAGAAATCCATGAAATTTAAACACATGGTTTATAACCACAAAAGGAAGGTTGGGATTGATTTTGGGGGTTAGGGTCCTAACAGTTTAGGAATTAGGGGCCAAAAAGAGGCCCAAAAAGGCATTTTTATGGTTTCCAGACAATAACTTGTGTTTAAATGTATAGATTTCTCTGAAAAGTTTCCATACCACAAAGGGATGGTTAGGATTGGCTTTGGGGGGTTATGGCTCAAACCGTTTAGGAATTGGGGCAAAAAAAGAAAAAACAAGGGTTTCCTGGTTAATGGACAATTTAAAAGCAGTGTAAGGGAGGTAATCCAAAAACAAAATTGTACAATGTTGTACAATGTTGGATTACCTCCCTTGCACTGCTTTTAAATTATCTATTTAAGACTTTTATGATGTATTTAAATGGGTAATTATGATTGCAAACTCCATTGGAAATTTGAATTGAGATTATGACCATATCTTGAGGAAAAGAATTTTTTGTTTGGAAAAAAGGGGGGGGGGGAGGGGGCAATTTTTTCTAATTTCAGATTTCAGAAATTAAACAAAATTTCTTCACATATTTGGGGATTTTTTTTTGGAGTTGGGGTTGGGGGGTTCAATACGCAACAGCATAGTGTATTGCACAAAAGAAAACAAAAAAGGGGGTTAATTTTTATTTTTATTTTTTTGGGGGGGTGGGGTGTCAAATCGCACAGGCACAGTGTATTGCACAAAAGCAAAAAATTGAATATAATTTCAAATCATATAACCAATTCTAAGTTCTTTGACTACAGTTATTCTGTGTCAGAAACCTATTATGTGTCAACTATTTAATTACAATCCAAATTCAGACCTGTATCAAGTGTGATATTGTGTCCATTTTTGCCCCAACTGTTCAGGGTTGAACCTCTGCGGTCGTATCCAGCTGTGACCGGCAAAGCAATTAATTTTTTTTAGCCCTGAGGGATATCCGCCTAACAATGCTTATCAATTCTACAGGTAGTGTGAGACACCTTACAGGAGAACACTTGATCAAGAAAGACGATTAATTGCATTATTTAATTACTTTTCAGGAAAGCTGATGAAAATTTAGATTGAAAAAAAAAATTTAAATTCAATTATGATGGAAAAAGTTTAACAAGTTGAACAATGCTTTTATTGATTTATGCTGTCATCATCCCCCTATTTAAACGAGTACAAGGTAAAACTTAATCGTAAAATGAAAATAATTTCATGCCAAATAACAACAATTATCGATCGTAATGAATCACTTGAGAAGTTTAAAAGTAAATATTCGAATATATAAACTGAAACTTGATAATCTGAAGAAATTTTGTATCGTAATTCCAAATTCATTTGGTAGTTTACAATCAAATTAATTTACATCCGGTTTACATTCAGAACCGAAAGATACATGTTGCATGGTCTATTATTGTGGAATGTGTTAAGCCGACCATGCAAGGGCTGTATAGCCAGTCAAGGTCGTTAAAAACTTCCATTTGTTGTTGTGGAATGTGCAATTTAAAGTCATTTAAACCATTTCAGTTTTAAACTTTTGCCCTCCACAAATAGGTTTTCAACTTCTTGTTGTCGATGCTGCAAATTATCAATCCTGGTTCTTGACCTCTGAAATGAATTTGAAAAAAACTACTACATGGGTGTTTGGCAGTGAGAAAAATGATCCCCAAGTCCTAAAAAAATTACCAAAACAACAAGAAAACGACTCTGGGAACCTTCTGACAGGAAAAAAACTTGGTTAACAGGACAGCTGAATTGTGGTTATCCTTGATTAAAAGGAGCTATGCAGGCTTGACATTGGAATTGTTACAAATGACAATTAAGGAAAATATTGGTTATTCTATAATGAAATGAATAATATAAACAAGATATTAGTCTAATCACTATTCCTTACAAAGAAATGTAGGAATGAAATATTTTCGATCACGAAACACGAGTTTTTTTCCAGTAAGAGCCTCCTCTATCGTAAAATTTTCATCCATGGAGATGCCTGGATCTACCTGCTGTCCATTTATGCCAAAACTGTCAGACGACTTCTTTCGGGAGTTATTGCCCCTAAATGTCATATTTCATCAATTTTTTTCATTTTTAGCTCGCCTGGTCCAAAGGTCCAAGTGAGCTTTTCTAATCATTTGGTGTCTGGCGTCGTCGTCCATCTTCGTCATCCGTTAACTTTTGCAAAAGTCTTCTCCTCTGAAGCTATTTGGGCAAATTTGAATAAACTTGGCGACAATCATCATTGGGGTATCTTGTTAAAAAAATGTGTTAGATGACCCCGCTTGCCATTCAACATGGCCGCTATGGCTAAAATTAGGACATAGGGATAAAATGCAAGTTTTGTCTATTATCTTGAAAACCGCTACAAATAGAGAAAATCTGACCGGGCATAAAACTACTATTTTACCCTTTTAACTATTATATTTATTCCCTCTTAATATGTAAATTTTCAAATTTTAACGATCTCATGTGAATAAATATTGTAATCAATGGGGTTATAAACTATATAATGGCAGATGTAAGTGTAAATCCCATCAAATGAAGTCAGCGTGACCTACATTTTAGTCCTCTTCACATTGAAGTCAATTGTACTTCCATAACTGTTTAGGTTTACAAAGTCAATTTACGAATGAGTAGAACCACTCAAAATTCATCCATAGTTTTTATGCCCCCACTGTAGCGGAGGGGGCATTAAGGTTTACCCTTGTCCGTCTGTATGTCCAAACTTCCCGAAATTGGTTTTCTTTCTCTAACTTTAGTTTCCCTTGACCAAATGTTATGAAACTTATACACAAAGCTTATTACCTCAAAACACAGATCAATTTGGTGGTTTCACTTTTATCGTTCCTGAGTTCGGAAAAAATGCTGGATTTTTTGTTTCCATTCTCTTACTTTAGTTTACCTCAAGCAAATGTTATGAAACTTATATTCAATGCTTATTACCATAAAACACAGATCAAGGTCGAATTTGGGTGGCGTCACTTTTACAGTTCTCTAGTTATGTCACTTTATAGCGTTTTATGCAAGTGGGGGCATCATCTGTGTCCCATGGACACATTCTCCATTTATTTGTCATTATAAGTTGGATGCGTTGTTGACCGTCCATCTTTGACTATGATGTTTTTATACTTCGTGGTATCTTCTTATGTATTGAAAGTACAGATAACATTTGTGAGAAAAATGCAATTGCTTGGGGATTAGTTTAGGTTGACTATGGAATCATATTGCAAGTTAACTGAAAAGAGGTTTCATAATTTGAAAGATGATTTACTTCTTTATAGATTGGATGGTTTTGTTGTATGTGAAGAATATAAAGACATACTGATAGCAGCTTGGGATGAAGACCAAGAAATACAAAAACAAAGAGAAATTGAGGTAATCTACTACATTTAACTTTACTGGGATTCAGTCTATAACTTTCTTTTGTTGTTTGTTTTTATGACCCAGATATTAATCTATCAATCTGCACAAGTGATATTATTCTGGAAAAATTGTTGTTTCCACCTAGTAAGGCATTTTCCTTTTAAGTAGATTCAGAACAAGAGGAAATGTTTTCTAGATGGTGGATTTATTGCTAGAACAGTCCTTTAAAATTGCTTTAATCTTGTTGTGAACATGGTGAATCTTCCCAAAAAGAAAGTTCCTTACCAAGTGGAAACATAGCAACTTATCTGTACAATTGAGTATATGGAATTTCTCTGGATTATGAGAAAATTAATTTACCTGTTAGTAAAAAATTCGATAGATCACTTTGTTTAAGCTTGCATTTATTTTTTAACAGAAAAGAGAAAAAAGAGTAATACAAAACTGGCGCTTACTGACAAAGGGATTGCTCATCAAGGAGAAATTAAAAAGGAAGTATCTTTTACAGCCTCACTTACATGTAAGTTCAAACTGAACATACTTTTATGATTACTAAAAACAGGCTGTATATATATATATATTTTTATAATGCTCTTCTTGAATCTCAGGTGAGAATATAATGACACCTTGTCTATTTGACTGTCCATCTATCCATCTGAGACAAACTGTTTAAAGGTTATAAATTAAGTCTACTGTTAAGTTCAACCTTTTGATTTTGTTACTGTAACATTCCTGAGTATCTACCGTGCTTGTTAATTTTAATGGAGTGAATTATATGCAGTTGACTCTCATTATCTCAACATCAGCCGGAACTGGAGAAATATTTCAGTGCGACTCAAACAAAACCAGAAGTTTGACAGTCAAAGGGACACAACTCTTGCTTAGCTTGGTAAAGCTAAAATAAATCCGGATGAATATGGGTAGGGGATCGATATTCTGGTCTCAGATCGATGAATTTGTATGTTATGGTTTTTTATTATTTTAATAACATTTTACGTTTTCGTCTCTTATTTATTTCTTTGTACAGTTACAATTTTTTACTGTGGTTTTTAGCCGAGATAGTAATTTCCAATCGATCTTAGCGTTATTTACAGTTGACAAATTTGTTCATTCTTGTATACAAGAGATTTTAGAAAATTTAGATTTCTTTTTATTTTCTTTCATTTCAATCTTTTTCTGCTAGAGAAAATACAAAAAGATTAAGGACACGGATTGAGTAGTTTTTAGTTGATCACCAACAGAAGTCTTAATCCCTACTTTATACACAACCAAACTCATTAGTGTATGATTACGGTTAATTATTTTTAAAACATATTAAATAATTTTTCATAAACTATAACAATGTATCACCAATTATTTATCATGATGATCAAAGATAATCTTAGGTAAACACTTGTCGAAAAAGAATGTCATAAATCGGTACAGTGTGGTCAGTGACCGGAAATTTAATTACACGTGTATTGTCAGATTAACTCTTCAATTCATTTAAATCCCTGAGGTCATGTTTTAACATATGTGTATTAGTTCAAGATAAATAATGAATTTTGAATGCTTTTGTTAACCTTGGGACCGTAGATTTAGTTCGAGTCAATCATCAGGAGTCTAAATACATATATTTATATGGAACAAAGTTCAGGACCACGAGAAAACTTCGACTCCGAAATTTCGAGTCAACCGAGTTCGAGACAACGAGAGTTAACTGTAGTAAGGGCCCTGTTACCTAATTGATAGATGCCCTATAGTAATCACTCTGTCTGTTCGTCTGTTGTTAGGTCTGTTTGTCTGTCCCTCCTTCAGCATATGTTTGTAAGTCATATTATTAGTAAAGGTTGCCTCAATTGATTTCCAAAATTTTTATGCTCAGTGTTGGGTTGTAAATCCAAGAAAATTTGACTTCATAATGGAATTTTGACCAATGAAAAATTGAAAGAACCACACTTTAATTGTAAAAAAAATTATCAACCAGTTGGAGAAGGTATAAATCAGCTAAGAATTGGAGATAGAAATTCATACATTTGTCTATTTTAAAATGCTGTTATCTTAAACTTTTATGACAACCAAAAATTATTGTTAACTAACATTTTAAGATAGTTGAGAAAGACAAAAAAGGATTCCACTAATAAGAAAAAAACATAGTTATATATACTGGACACGGGGTCAAACACATTAGAAACCCTATTCATTTCACTGACTGAACCAATATTATTCTTTTGTGTGAGGTCACATAAAAGGCATTTTGGAACCTCTAGTGCAAAGAACAAATCAGTATTTCAGTTCAAACTTATATATTAAATATAAATTATTTATTATAAAGGAGAGAAGCTGTGAAATAATTCTTTACAAATCCTTCATGAACTTGAGCACAATATTTTACAGTAAGATGTATAAACCTTCATTAAAAAGTTGTTGTTTTTTTTTTATTTAAAGGAGGTAGAAACTAAAGAAAAGACAAAAATGAAGAACAAACCAGGAGAGAAAGCAGATGATGTAGAAAAAGCCTGGCCAATGAACAAAGAAGGAAGTAAATCTCTTAGTACAGCAAAGCATTTTAAAACTGAAACTTTATAAACATTCTACAGTCTACCTGTACTTAAACATTTCATAATTTTAATAGAGGAACAAGCTTGTATAGAAGAAGAACCATCCTTGAGTTTTATTTTAATGTAATTAGTATAATGAAAAGACCTATGATGAGACACTAAAATGTATAATATACCTCATTGTGTTCATGTAAAATATGGCTGTGAAATATAAATCTTTAATACATATATCAACTATATAAAATCAATAAATTCTTATTATAAAATGGATTCTGCTTTAGTACTTGTTTTCTCAAAATCTGATTGTTTTTTAATTGTATTCCAAGAGGGAAGTGTAATATGGATATAACTATGTTACACAGTCAATCCTGCTTTAAAGATCACCTATGTTAAGCAAAAACATGTTGTGTTATGTCATCCTCTTCTTGTCCCACTGTAGTAGTATCTATGCATTTTGAACCTCAATTCAGAGGTCACCTATCTTGTAAGGTTATTAGTCCCCTACCAACGAAGTCGAAGAGGAATTTAGGTTTGCACTCCATCTGTCTGTCCATCCATCCGTCAAACCAGCAAATAACTTTTTCCACACTTTTTTTCTTCGAATTTTGTTCTGGTCGGATTATTTTGTGCAGAGTTATGGTCCTTGGACTTAGAAAATTCACTCAAATAATCAGTTTTCTGCACTTTTTTTCGTCATGCTTGAAGATATTGATTTGATAATTGATATATAGTTTTATCATGACAAGTTACAGATCAACGTCGAATATTGTTCTGGTCTGATGATTTTGTGCAGAGTTATGGTCCTTGGACTAAGAAAATTCACTCAAATAATCAGTTTTCCTAACTTTTTTTCATCATGCTTGAAGATATTGAATGAATAATTGATATATAGTTTTATCATGACAAGTAACAGATCAAGTTCGATTTTTGTTCCGGTCTGATGATTTTGTGCAGAGTAATGGTCTTTGGACTTAATAAATTCACCTAAATAATCAGTTTTCCACACTTTTTTTCGTCATGCTTGAAGATATTGACTTGATTTTTTGTAATGAGGTTTACACCAGTTATAGATCAAGTTAGCATTTTGTTCCAGTTCAATGAATTTTTAACCGGTAGGGGACTATGTATTGCCATGCAGTACTCTCAGAATGCTTGTTTTCTATGGTCTCAAGATTCTTAAGGTGACCATGACCAGCTCTTTTGTAGAAGAGTATCTATTTTGTCTATTAGTGCATCCATTAGTTGCTGAGACTCGTCAATATCATAAACAATATAGCTCTGAGCAAATGAGGTGTGAAAAGGACACTTTTTTAGCCCCTTGTAAACTATCAAATAACAAATGAATAACATTTGATGTTCACAATATGTTGTGTTCAGATTTCAGTTATAACAGATATAAGCAACAGCCTAACCAAAAAGTATACTTCACCACAAGGTTGATCATCATACAATGATTTTTGATTGAAGAAAATCTTCTTATTTTTGCAACTTAAGTGGCAAATAAATCCTCCTTTCAGTAATTGGTTTACATAATTTTAAACAAGAAAAAAAAATGATTCTTATGGATTTTCATTGGTAAAGTAGAATGCTTATACAGACTTGTATTATTTTTTACACTAGGAGACTGCATTAGGGGACATCAACATTTTGCATAAAAATTTTTACATATTATTTCAAGAGGTAGGCAAGCTGAATAATCCATACCTTGTAAACATATTCCGTCTGGCATATGTCCATAGTCTTTGATTCTTTTCCTGGTTTAATAAGTGCTTAGAAGAGGGTTGGAATGCCCTTTATCATCAAGCATCAAACATTCATTTTTATTGTCATTCGTCAAATCTCATTTTGTAGCTACCGTTAACCTCAAATGGAGTAAAATGTTTATCGTTAACGTTTTTAAATTTTTTCCTGTCAATTTTCATGTCGGGTACCCCATTCCTGCCTACATAGAATCAAATGATATTAGCACTTGTGAGTTTATTCCAACTATGTTTGTTGTATGGAATCATTAAAGGTTTATATGTCCATCAGACTATGACTTAATTTTTGTGGTTCGTTAATCAATGATAAGTTCTTGTGACCTTATTTCATGGTTTAGTGATCACTAGGCCAGTTTCTCAAAAAGAAGAAATATTTTTGTTGGTGTACATGTTTGTCAAAATGTATGCAACTGACTATGACCTAATTTTTGTGGTTCATTGATCAATCATAAGTTTTTGTGATTTGGTAAGTTTTTGAGGTATTGTCAATACAGAAATTATTGTGAGGTTTTAATTAATGCAAATAATTTGACACCTCTAGTATTGCAATAATACGAGATTGCATTCATACTTTCCCTAAAATCGCAATAATTAAACACATTTTTGTTCATTTTTCAAAAATCACAATAATTTCTGAATTTACAGTACATCAAATAGTAGGTTTATTATAATTGGTATATAGAATGATTGTAAAGTGAGCATGTTGGTCTGATGGTGTTCATTTTGTCATTGACCTCGTCGTCATGTTTGGGATTTTTTATTTTCACATTTATATGTAATAATAGGTTGAGTATATTTGGTGTACAGAATGACTGTATTATAGTGTGCAAGTTTGTCTGGCAGACTGGTAGTCCATCTAACCTTGAACACTTTCCAGGTTAGAAATTTCACAGCCTATATGTGTCTGTTCCGAACTTGAACAGAAACAATTATTTAGTGGTTCTTTATATTGCTTTTAATGTTTAAATAAAATGCTCCGCTGGGCGCAGCTTGATACGACCGCAGAGGTCGAACCCTGAACAGTTGGGGCAAGTATAGACACAACATTCAAGCTTGATACACACTGACTTTGGATTGTGACTAAATATTTGACACAGCATAGGTTTCTGACACAGAATGAATGTGGTCTAATAACTTATAAATTTTTAATTTACCTATTGAAATCATTATTATTTGCTTTTATATATAAATCAGAAATAACCAATTTAAAATGGTAAATTTTAAAGAAAAAAAAAGGAAAAAAAGAAAATAAAAATCCCTCCCCCCAAATTTTTTGAACCCCCTTATGTTTCATCACCCCCAAACTCAATCCCAGCCTTCCCTTTGTGGTATGGTACCTTGCAGTACAATTTCAGAGAGATCCATACACTAGAACACAAGTTATTGTCTGGAAACTAGAAAAATGCTTGTTTTTTTGCCCCTTTTTGACCCCAAATTCCTAAACATTTAGGGCAAGTACCCCTAAACTCAAACCCAGCTATCCCTTTGTGATATGGAACCTTGTAGTACAATTTCAGAAAGATCCATACACTTACAGTCACAAGTTATTGTCCTGAAACTAGAAAAATGCTTGTTTTTTGCCCCTTTTGGCCCCTAATTCCTAAAATTTTGAGGCAATTACCCCCAAAATCAATCCAAGCCTTTCCTTTGTGGTATGGTACCTTGCAGTACAATTTCAGAGAGATCCATACACTTAAACACAAGTTATTGTCTGGAAACTAGAAAAATGCTTATTTTTGGCCCCTTTTTGGCCTCTTATTCCGAAACGTTTTGGGCAATTACCCCCAAACTCAATTCCAGCTTTCCCTTTGTGATATGGAACCTTGTAGTACAATTTCAGAAAGATCCATACACTAACACACAAGTTATTTCTGTAAGTTACAAAAATGCTTATTTTTGGCCCCTTTTTGGCCCCTTATTCCTTAACTGTTGGTACCATAACCCGTAAAATCAATCCCAACCTTCCTATAGTGGTATTGAACCTTATGGTAAAATTTCATAGAGATCCATTCACTTAAACTAAAGTTAGAGTTCGAAAACCAATGTGTCTTCGGACGACCATGCCAACGTCATACCAATATACGACCGCAAAATTTTTTTGCGGTCGTATAAAAAACAACTGCAATCATACTGATTTAGCAGTTTTCATTAAACTTTGGTGACTGATTTATTTCTATTAAGATAACCTGCCTTTAGTTTTTTTTATAAATTTTGGATATGACATTGAGAAGTTATTGACCTTTATTCTTTGAAAACATGATGGGCGTATCATGCGCTCATGGTGCAGCTGTTTATTTATTTTGTAGAACAAAGCAAAATTGATCAGCAAAAATTAGGTTTACAAGTAAAACATGGCTGAAATTGTTAATTGACCCACTAATAGGAGTTATTGCCCTTGAAAGATGATTTTTGCTCATTTTTGCTCAATTTTGCTTGAAAAATACAATAAATCTGATATGTAAGTCAATTGATGATTTCGGCCATGTTTTACATGTAGACCAAATTTTCCTGAACTATTTTGCTTTTTATAAAAAATAATTTGATAAGTGAAACCCTAAACATAACTCAATTTAAAAAGAGGTGTACAATGGCACTATATGGTTAAGATTCTGAGAAAGTTTCATAAATTCTAATGAGGGATTTAGGAGGAATTGCAGATACAAAATGGACACCCCCAGCAATGGGAAAGTCGATGAATTGCTAAGGATAACCCAAAAATAATTCAGATAAAAAAAAAAGCAAATAGGAGGTGCACGAGAGCTTTTTGATGAAGATACTCAGAAAGTTTCATTAAATTCACAATTAGGGTTTAGGAGAAGGGGGCACAAATATGTCCTATGGTGTGTAGATATGACGAAGTCAGTGTCCTGCCAAATCATTTGGATTAAAAAAAAGAAATTGGAGGTGCCAAAAATTCCTTATGTGAGTACGATTCTGTGAAAGTTTAAAAACATTCTGTCATTAGGGTTCAGGTGCAAAAGCGAACACAAAAGTGAGATAGAAGGACAAATAAATGGACTGACTGATGAAATGTCACCCCATTAGTACTTACTGCACACTTCCAAAACTTGTGAAGGGGTATAAAGTGAGGTGAGTCTGAAAAGCAACAACCCTTCATAATCAAAGTGCTGGATAGCACCTGTGGAAAGTTTGCAAAGGTAGATGTGTATTATTTCAAAAAGGTGGTAGATGTGTATTATTTCAAATAGGTTGTAGATGTGTATTACTTCAAATAGGTTGTAGATGTGTATTATTTCAAATAGGTTGTAGATGTGTATTACTTCAAATATGTATTTAATCACAGCTTTGGTGTTTTTCCCTAAACCATTGTCTCATCAGCAATTATCAAAAATCACTTTTTTCATATGTTTGTCATGTAAAATTTTGATAATTTCTATTGCAACCTTAAGGTGGTACCAAACACCTTGACTAAAATTAATCTGGCTCGTTTAATTTTCATAAAATTTTGACAAAATATTTACTTTGACCCTTTGTCAAAAATATAAAAATTTCAAAAATCTTAAACCACACACTTTATCGGAAAAATTTCATTGGATATATAGCAGTTTGACAAACACTAATTTTTATCATTGAGAAGCTTAATATTTTCTTAACAATAGAACGTGATTAAAACGTTCAGCTGATTTTTACAGAGTTATCATCCTGTAGTGTTATGTACAACCTTAAACTGTAGATTTAAAATAATCAAATATACAGAAAGCTCTGTTAATTTCTTTCTGTGCCCATCCCATGTAAAGGGCCTGTGATTAAGTATTTTTTATTGATTAAGGTCCTTCATATTTGTTTTTAGTAAATTGTATTATTACTAATTAAGCAGTTAGTTTTCTTGTTTGAATTGTTATATATTGAACAAACTAGGACTATGATTAGTAGATTGTGTGGTTAACGGTTATTTCTGACTTTTAAAATTTTTTACTTAATACAAGAAATAATTGTAACAGGATGCTGTTACTAAGTCTCCCAACCAAATCTCCCATAATTAGTCATTCCCATGGTCACCTGACATTAGGCAAAGTCCAGTATAAATTGGTTCGGTCTAGTAAAGTGATATGCATAAGTGACGCCTAGGGATTAACCCTGTATGTCATTCAAATCTTCTTGAAATCATGAGCAGGAATATATATGGTTTAGGGGTGGGGATCTCGACCGTTTTCAAGTTCTCAAACAGAAGGGGGTGGGGGTGACCCAGAGGGACTCCAGCTATATTTCATTTGATTTGTTTTATTATCCCATACATGAATATATATGGTTTAGGTGTGGGGATCTCGACTGTTTACAAGTTAAAGCCCATTCTAAAATTGAAAGGGGGTGACTCCAGGGACTTAACCTATATTTTATTTGCTTTGTTTTATTGTCCTGTGATCATTACTGAAGACCGCGTGTGTCTATCACTTACTGTTTTCAAGTTATGGTCATTTGAAAATTTAAAAAATAAAATCCCATAGGGTTCTTTAGTAAATCCCTCCCTTCTGTAGGCCCTCAAAATACCCATAAATAGACCCCAAGAAGAAAAATAATAAGAACTGAGCAAAAACAATAAGTCTCCAAACTTTGTTTGGGAGCCTTAATAACAAATAGTATATACGAATTTTGTTATAGTCCGATTTTGTTATAGGTCGAGTTTGTCATAGTCCGATTTTGTAATAGGCCGAGTTTGTTACAATCCGATTTTGTAATAGGCCAAGTTTGTTATAGTCCGAGTCTGTTATGGGCCGAGATGAGACACCAGGTTACATTCGATACACTCAGGCTTTTATGTCTTAAATAAACATTTGTAAAAATCGTAGTAAAAATAGCGTCAAAAAATGTTCATTCATGAAATATTTTAAACACGGTATTTACTTTCTCTTCAACCGGAGGACGGGAGGAAACCCCTGAAACTGGGATTATTGTACTCCCATCGGGAGGTACACATATATGGATCTCATGCATGTCTGGGGAATACAGATAAAAGCATAACGTAGAAACTGCTGTCTCGTGTAGATGTGTATTGATTTTAATTTCTGTGCAGCGCAGATCCGCGAAGTAGTGTTTGTGATAGCTATTTTCAAAATGAAGTTGAATTCATTTGAATTATTGATGAACATTCAGTACATTTTAATTCAAGCTGTAAGCTAATCAAAATAGAAGTAACTCAAAATTTCAAAAGCATCTTCCTAGAATTAGTATTCAAACACTAGTACTACATTATCTAGGAGTAGAACACACATCCTATAGTAAGATAGTCTGTCCAAATTCCGGTTTGAGGCCGATGCCTTAGGAAAGTATATTGCTATAGCAAACTTTCCAAAAACCAAACATACACACACAAATGTAATTATTTATACTTATTTAATCTTCTCCAACTCATTCACATTTCATATTTAATAAAAGAACATTACATTGTATGTAAAAACAAAATACTGCAACATGTTATATTTATCACATTTTTCCAAATTGGAAAGTACAGAACATTAAAACATCATAATCTTTTGGCTTCGTGTGCTCTTTTTATAAATTCAGCCTTTTCTGTTTGCATAACATAATTCATATCCTGAAAGAAGAAAGAGATACATGTACAACAACAATTATTCATTGATAACTATATCTATTCTTTCCAAGTATGTGATACAAGTTTCAAAATTTAATTGCTGGTATTGTAACTTCATAAATGTTTAATATGTTTTACTAATGAGAAAAACACTACAGGATTAGTATCACGTTGCCCCCTTATCAGTATACAATGAAGATTCTTTCCTTAATTATTTCTATATATTAATTTTTTATGCGCCACCTACGATAGTAGAAGGGGCATTATGTTTTCTGGTCTGTGTGTCCGTTCGTTCGTCTGTCTGTCCTTCTGTCCCACTTCAGGTTAAAGTTTTTGGTCAATGGTAGTTTTTGATAAAGTTGAAGTCCAATCAACTTGAAACATAGTACACATGTTCCCTATGATATGATCTAATGCCAAATTAGAGTTTTGACCCCAATTTCACGGTCCACTGAACATAGAAAATGAGAGTGCGAGTGGGGCATCTGTCTACTATGGACACATTCTTGTTTAATTATGAATTTGAAGTTTCAGTGATAAAGAAATCTGAAAAATTTTCAGAATCAAGAACGTGCATTATTGCAGAATGAAATTGTTTAAGCTAAGGCATGCAGTTCCAGAGAAAAATAAATGGGGAATTTGTCCATGGGACACAGATGATGCCCCCGCTTGCATATCATATAAAGTTATAAAGGGACATAACTGAAGAACGGTAAAAGTAACACTACCCAAATTTGTACTTGATCTGAGTTTTGTGGTAATAAGTATTGTGTATAAGTTTCATAACATTTGGTTGAGACAAACTAAAGTTAGAGAATGAAAATGAAAAATTCAGCAATTTTTCCATTTGTAAAGCAGCATAACTCTAGAACGGTTAAAGTGACACCACCAAAATTCAAACTTGAACTGTATTTTGTGGTCATAAGCATTGGGTATAAGTTTCATAACATTTGGTTTAGGCAAAATAAAGTAAGAGAACGGAAACCAACTTTGGGATGTACATATGGACAGACGTACGGACGAACAAGGGTAAAACGATACGGCGGGGGCATAAAAATTACAATATGCTTCAATTGGAAGAATTTGAGAACTGACCAATCAGTATTTGGTTCAGAGTAGCCATGCAGTTTTAAAGACAATATAATGTTATTTTCCTATAATTTTCAATGGTCATGTGACTGTATTCAAGAAATGCATGCCACCCAATCAAGACCTACATAAAGCATTATCATAAAAGGCCTAACCATCATCATTCCTATGAAGTTATAAAGAGAAGAAAAATTTAGAATCTGACTCATCAGAATCAAGAATTTCTCTGGCATCCATGTCTATATCAATAAAAAAAGAACAGAGTAGTATGTATATAATAACTTATTTACAGTATTTCTGTGGAGCTTGGTTCAAACTTGACTAATGCAGTATCAAAAGAGTTGATGAAAATGTTATCATACCGACCTATCCCCACCTATCTTTTTATTTGTAGAAGTATCTCCTATTATTAATTTAAGTTTAATTCAGGACTGCTACGGTATACATGTACATATAGACCGTAAAGTTACAACACATCTGAGGCAGTGCACATAAATCAAAGCATGAACATAAGAACTTACCCCTGATTGTTCTCTAAGAATTTTTTCTTTTTCTTTTTTCACCAATTCATCCAAATCCTAGAATGTTAGAAAGAAACTGCATACATTTTTCTATTACAATCTGAAAGAAGGGGTTGGATACGGCACTACATAGAAAGAGTGGTTCAATTAAAATGCAGGAAAAAGTATACAAATATAGGAAACTTCATGGAAATTACCATATGTCAAAGTAGTGATATTTTTCATTATGACAGTTACTGGAGATATATGTATAAGAAATGAATTCTAACTATCCAAAGGAGTGTTTAAAATACAGTGGGAGTTTTTAATGACCTTGACCCTATTTACTGGTGTTTATCGATCCATATGAGCATGCTCACCATGGCCAATACAGGACGTCAATCATACCACATCTTCTTAATTTCATACTGATAGGGTTGGAAGATATTAAAGGTTATAATGACCTTGACCATCATTACAAGTCTGGCATGGTCCAAATGTATGGTTAAATGACTTTTTTTAATCAGTCTAGCAGGGTAAGACAGTAAATACACAACGGCAGTGCTGAATAGCTTTTATGACCAAATACAAATATGGCACAATGGCATTCAGCCATTGTTTATAAATATATACAATGAGTGTTCAATGACCTTGCCCATCAAAACAAATCTGGCAGGGTTGGACAGTAAAGGATATCGTAGTCTGATAGGGTGGAAAGGTAAAGGTAAATGTCATTTACTACCAAATAATGTTTTGCACAGTCATATTGGAAATATACAAGAGGTGAGATTAATGACCTTGATCTCCCTTACAAGTCTTTCATAGCTGTACTGTAAAAACCATAATGGGTGTATTTAATGACATTGATTATAAATCTGACAGGGGGAGGGTTCAGATTTCAAAGAAAGTTAAATATTTCAACATGTAATTGTTCTAGCCTTTACAGTTAAAACTGGGCGACAAAAGAGGAATAATTATATTTTAGAATTTTTGTTACCAGTGACAAACATATTCCAAATTGTCATACTTTCTCAGCACTAGTTTGCTTGTCAATGTCTTTGAGTACAGTTGTGACAAGAACTAATTAGAAAATATAAAAAGGAATGTTTAAAGTCAATGAAAATGTATTAAATAAATATTTATCGGTATTGTTACACAATCTTTTAGACTCATATATATAAATATATATATATATATATCTTACATGTGTGTCGTTTGGGGAATTAGGTGTTGATAAAAGATCCCTAATGTTTTCTGTTAAATTTATTCAGTCACTCATGGCTCAGGGCAATTTAGAGATTGAGATTTTTATACACGATATATAATTGAAGACTGTATGTTGACCTCTAAATGCCTAAAAAATGTCTAATGACTTGTACATTAAATGAACAGTTTTTTGTGTTGTTGGGTTTGCAGTTGCCTTTATTTATACTTGCATCGCTGGACTGAATATACAAAAGGTGTGTTTAACTTACTAGCTTGACCTTACATACTGTTTCATACAGGTCTAGCATGGTACATTGTAGGATTTTAAATATACAACGATGTGTTTAACTACCTTGACTACACATACAGCCCAGGTCTGACATGGTAAGACTGTAAATATACAAAGGTGTGTTTTACATTGACCACAGATAGAGGTCTGGTATAGTAAGACTGACATTGTAAATATTAATATACAAAAGGTATGATTTACTATCTTTCCCATTGATACAGGTCTTGTCACTCTTGTGTGTGGTAGACTGTACCTCTAATGGCTTGTACATTAAATGAACAGTTTGAGATCGTAGACTGTACTTCTAATGACTTGTACATTAAATGAACAGTTTGAGATCCAGCTGTGTATATGGTAGACATATACACCTTATCGCTATTCCCGGCTGACCCGAGAATCTGTCCCGCTTGAACTTTTGACATCATACAACAATCACTTCTCCTTTGTGGCGTCAGATATTTTGTATTGCGACGTCAAAATTTTACGGTAACCTGTGTGATGTCCAGTAATGGCGGACAAATAGCGATAAGGTGTATTGTAATGCCGTCCACCCCTCTTTTTGAATATGCTCTGTAATTAAGTACAAATAATAATACGGAGATGTCTGTGAGATGATATGCTATGCAAATGAGTCTATTTAATATGCTGATTGTATTAATATTGATTATCAAGATTTAATTCTATTGTGTTTCAAATGATGTTATGATTGGAATTTACTCGCCGTGACAAATTTGCAAGTTTGATCCTGGAGTGCCGGTACCTTTATTTCTGTTGTTTTATTTGAGATATTAACCTTTTTACATGTGTTCCTAAGTTATCCTGTATGTGTAATAACTTTCACGATGAATAAATATGTTGGTTCTTATTGATATTAAGCTGGAAAACATCTTTATTTACATAAAACTTCCAATGTTTATATTTTGATTTGCCATTTTGGGAATTTCCCTAAACAGAGAGATGACTGCTGATTGGCCCAACACATGTAAAAGCGTCTGTGATTAGCTGACAGTCAAATAAAACTGAAATGATCAACTACGGAGAGCAGTGATTGTTTGTGGTTTGAAAATGAAAGTTATGAAGCGCCAAACTTGAAATAATCGGCGACTTTCTAGTTGCAAATTGTTGGGTGATTTTTTTCTATGTGTAAATAGTTGGTGACTTCGCTAGGTGCAAATGGTTGGGTGACTTTGCTAGGTGCAAATGGTCGGTGAATTTTCTAGGTGTAAATAGTCGGTGACTTATTTGGGTGTAAATACTTGGTGACAATTTAGGGTGTAAATTGTACCAATATTTCAAGTAGTTATTTGAAATAGATGTTGTTGATTTAAGGCTACATACTTTTACAAGTGTTCTTTTATTGAAGCACCTTTGTAAGCCTGTTCGAGCTATACGCTACCTCAGTAGTTTGGAAATTAGTTGTAGTTAACAGAGTGGTGACTCTGGATTGTTGTATATATGATTAATATATATATATAGATTAAATAAGATAGACCAACCATAACCTGGAACCCAACCAGACAAATGACAGAGCCTGTCCAGCCAGATTATCCGCGTTTATAATTGTCAAATAAATAATCAAAACTGTTATATATGCTATTTCTTTTATTTCTCAATCATATATACAATAGATAGACCTGTAGAACATAGGTTAAACGAAGCTGTAAAGTGGGTTGGTTCGACGGTATTCCAATTAGACGTCGGCCCTACATTTTACAGTAATAAATCATACCAGTTAAGAAATCCCTTTTCTATGTAACCTGTGATCTCTGGTGGCCGACTCTAACACCAGGGAGGCAGCGTTATAATATAACTTAAATTGTACCTCTAATGGTTTGTACATTAAATGAACAGTTTGAGATCCAGCTGTGTATGATAGACTGTACCTCTAATGGCTTGTACATTAAATTAACAGTTTGAGATCGTAGACTGTACCTCTATTGGCTTGTACATTAAATGAACAGTTTGAGATCGTAGACTGTACTTCTAATGGCTTGTACATTAAATGAACAGTTTGAGATCGTAGACTGTACCTCTAATGGCTTGTACATTAAATGAACAGTTTGAGATCCAGCTGTGTATGGTAGACATATAACTTAAATTGTACCTTTAATGGCTTGTACATTAAATAAACAGTTTGAGATCCAGCTGTGTATAGTAGACATATAACGTAAATTGTACCTCTAATGGCTTGTACATTAAATAAACAGTTTGAGATCCAGCTGTGTATGGTAGACATATAACTTAAATTGTACCTCTAATGGTTTGTACATTAAATGAACAGTTTGAGATCCAGCTGCCATCGACACCAACATTACAGCTACTCCTTTGAGGTAGGTACTCCATGATACTCCAGCTGGCATGTTTATCTTAATCCAGATAATTTTCTGTCTAGTTCCACTTCTTCGAGTGCTAATTTATGTGCTTGATTTTTCTTAAAAACTGAATCTGAAAATCAACAAATAGTACCGTACATTAAAAAAGCCATTATACTACACAATCATTGACGGTCGAGTAAAGCCAAGTGATAGACAGGAAAGCGACTACCTAGCCCCAGTCGCTCACTAGCGTCAGCCCTGCAATGTGCATAAGATAAAGCAGTCCACATGGGATGTTGGTTTACATGGTTGCAAAGATTAAAAGTTTCATTTGATCTATAATATAACATGTATTCAAAATCCCATTAAAACTTTAATATATTTCCACAAATAAAAAGCAAAATACTATGTATCTAGAAACTTTTCTTATACTCAACTGAACATGTTGTGAAACTACTCCATCGGACAATGTCTGAAAATAATTATCTTCGTGATCTTACGGTTATTTCAGAAAAAAAGCTATTCTTTTTTCATTTAAGGGCAACAATATGAAAGCTATCCTACATTGATATTTCTTTGATATTTTAACTTACAATGACTTAATGTCAATTTCAATATGGTTTCTCAAATTTGCAAAGAAAAATGTATCCACATAACTTTTCTTTTGAGATTATAATTAAGTTTGATTTTGGCATGATTGAGGTAAATAAGCAAGATTTCTTCTTTTAATACAAGGGGCCTCGGTGGCCGAGTGGTCTAAGTAGTTACTACTGTAATCACTAGCCAGTCAACACTGAGGTTGTGAGTTCGAACCCCGCTCATGCGGGTGCACTCGACTCCAATCTTAATTGACTAGGATTGTCAGTTTTCCTATTGAAGGTTGGTGGTTTTCTCCGGGCACTCTGGCTTCCTCCACCAATAAAAACTGGCCGCCACGAAATAGCCCAAAGCGGTGCTTAAAAGTGGCGTTAAAACATCAAAAAAATTTTAAAAAATCTTTTAATACAAACAAACTTTATGAAAAAATGCACAACTTTCAAACAAAAATAGATATTTTCATTTTTATTTTTTGTAAAGGAATGGTTGATAGGCTAATTATAAGTTAGTTAAAAGTTGAATATTAATTGAAATGCTATAAAATTATTTTGAATAATGGAATTATTGGTGACAAAATGCTGTAGACAATTTTCATTCATAGATGTATAATATATAAACACTGATAAGAAAAAGTTTAATTGATTTTCTGTTTGAAAATTTTGAACATAACATTCCTGAAACAGTACACAAACCATTGCACAAGAAAAAGGGTTCAATATGCTTGTTTTTTATGCTATTAAGCAGAAAACTTTTTAGAGATCAAATTTCCCTATTTTACACTAAATTACATGAGGGATGGGCATTCTTACTGTCAAAAGTAATTGATTAAAACCAATTACAAGATTTTTGTGTAATCGATTACTCTGATTTTGGTATTTGATCAATTTAAATGTAAAACATTATCAAAACTAATTACATTACTTTTCGATTACTATCAATTACATGTGCACAAAATTAAAAAAAAAATATCTTAAAGAAGTTAATTATAATTTTTTGGCTGCTCAATACATGTATAGTGGAAATTAAAAAAAATAAGTTAAGCAACATTTAATGTATTGTTTCCAATTTTATGTTGATAACAGTTGTTTTATATGGAAGCTTGTACTGAGGATCCAAAATATATAATGACTCTTCAAATATGAGTTTTCAAGAAGAGAGAGTGGGGATTTGAGTTCTTGCAATGACAGCTGTGACCAATGTATCACTCAGTTCTTTCTAATGACAGCTGTGACCAATGCATCAGTCAGTTCTTTCTATTGACAGCTGTGATCAATGCATCAGTCAGTTCTTTCTAAAGACAGCTGTGACCAATGCATCACTCAGTTCTTTCTAATGACAGCTGTGACCAATGCATCAGTCAGTTCTTTCTAATGACAGCTGTGATCAATTAATGCATCAGTCAGTTCTTTCTATTGACAGCTGTGACCAATGCATCAGTCAGTTCTTTCTAATGACAGCTGTGACCAATGCATCAGTCAGTTCTTTCTAATGACAGCTGTGACCAATGCATCAGTCAGTTCTTTCTATTGACAGCTGTGATCAATGCATCAGTCAGTTCTTTCTAAAGACAGCTGTGACCAATGCATCAGTCAGTTCTTTCTAATGACAGCTGTGACCAATGCATCAGTCAGTTCTTTCTATTGACAGCTGTGATCAATGCATCAGTCAGTTCTTTCTAATGATTGTTGTGACCAATGCATCAGTCAGTTCTTTCTAATGACAGCTGTGACCAATGCATCAGTCAGTTCTTTCTATTGACAGCTGTGACCATTGCATCATTCAGTTCTTTCTAATGATAGCTGTGACCAATGCATCAGTCAGTTCTTTCTATTGAAAGCTGTGACCAATACATCAGTCAGTTCTTTCTATTGAAAGCTGTGACCAATGCATTAGTCAGTTCTTTCTAATGATAGCTGTGACCAATGCATCAGTCAGTTCTTTCTATTGCAAGCTGTGACCAATGCATTAGTCAGTTCTTTACAATGACACCTGTGACCAATGCATCAGTCAATTCTTTCTAATGACAGCTGTGACCAATGCATCAGTCAGTTCTTTCTATTTTGGGTCATACATGTATGCTCCATATTTTGTTTTTCTATTCTCATTATTGACAGACATGACAGACATATTGATTTGTATTACAGTGTTTAGAGTTTCCTCTGATTTTTTTCTTCTAAAAAGTATGAATATTAATTTGTCTAACTTTCTTTTATTGATGGAAATTTCAAATGAATTACATGCATGGATTTATTATTTTATTTGGATAATCTCCTTAATTACAGGTTACAAAAATGTCCATATCATTTCATTTCCACACATACACAATGTACATGTTACCATATTTTATTTGTGTCAATAATACAAGTAAACAGTATGAATAACAAGAGGCTCCTTCACAGTTGAGTGCTTCAAAAAACTCACCTCAGATAAAAATGTGCCATTTTGATATTTATTTTTACCTTTATTGCAATCATTTATGTTTTACCCAATTGTAAATATTATTTTGTGATATTTTGAAGATCTTGTATTAATGATCATATTTACTGTTTACAGTTTATACCTAACGATTAATGTAAGATAATTGACAAAATAGGTAAAAAATCCTCATTTAAGGGCAATAAATCCAAGAAGCAGTTTGACAATTTGGCCATTTTGACTTACTTGTAGATCTTATTATGCTGATAATTTTTCCTATTTAAAGTTTCTTTCTATCTACTATCATGACTATATCTTTTTGACAAAAATGCAAAAAATTGCGGAAATAACTCCTATAGGACTGGAGGCAGCTGACAATTTCTGCCATGTTGACTTTATTGTAGATCTGTGCTGAACATTTTTTTCATCTACTTTTTCATCTATTGACTTATCTATAGAATTTACAGGGCTGCCAAGTCTCATGCATATTTAGCGCGATACTCACACATTTTCATGCTTATTTGGCGACATTTTCCTTTGATCTATTGTTTTTTTCTCTTTGATCTATACAATTTTAGCCAAATCTCATGCATTTGCTTCATGAAAAGTTGGCAGAACTGAATTTATATTTTGCTAAACATATATGTTATATATTGTTCCTGTCTATCATGTCTATTTATAATAGTTTTTTGTAAAAGAAAATCATGATATGAAAATTATTATTCAAGGATAATAACTCCTTCAAGGAGTCAGTTGACAATTTGAATTTTCAGCCATGTCAACTTATTTGTAGGAGGTCTAATTGTGCTTTACATATTTGGCTTTTTACAATTTCTCTTGATCTTTTATATATTGTAGCTTCTGAAAAAATGTCAAAATGTGAATGATGTGTAAAATCCATCTTTCATGTTCAATATATTAAAAAAAGTAATACATGGTACACATGGTACATGTAATAACTCCTAAAACGGGTCAATTGAGGATTTCTGTTATGCAGACTTATAATATTTGAAGATCTTACTGTTCAGGTAATGTTTACTGATTAAAATTCATCTCTACCTATTCTAGATTTATACAAAGATAATAACCAAAAATTACTCCAAAAAGGTAGTCCAATTTTTCTAAAAATCCAGATAGACCTTGACCTGCTATTTATTTAAAACTTGACCTGCTGATTATTTAGACCTTTTGTCAGTTTGTCCTTTCTGATTTACTATTTTTGCAAATGTAAGCCAAAAAACTGAAATTTGCTTAAGGTGTCAGACCACCAATTCAAAATCCCTATCTATTCAACTAAATTTTCTTAAGTTTAACTTCATAGAAACCAGGTATATCCTGAAACCAATGTTAAAAGTCTTGTAAGGAAGAACTACCGTTTGGAAGCCAAGTACTACTAAAAATCACCCCTGGTTTTCTGGAAATCTTTAATTAGTATACTATGGAGCACATTAATCCTCAATATTTTTAATACAAACTCATGGACAGGTAAATTTTAGCTCAAAATTAATGGTCTAAATATTCTTCTCTTTCACCAAAAGTTTCATTTCTTCAAATTTGTTGGTTAGTTTAAGCAAACAATGATTTCAAAAGCAATATTTTTAAATTTTGTCAGGGAGGGACTACATTTACAAATACCTTCTAAATTGGAGTGGGTGAATTGGTGGTCTGCAGACACCTTAAAAGGGGGTCTCATTGGGGGGTTCTGATCCTGGATCCCACTTACTGATTTGTCAGATTCCCGTATCCCGCTTACACTATGTACGTAAGCAATTCTCATTTTTTTGTAAATTCCTGTGTCCCGCTAGACTTCATTTTCTGTTTTCACTGCACAATAATTTGACTTTCACGTGTCACGCTTACAAAAAATCAGCAATCCCAGGTCACGCTTAGACCCCAATGAGACCCACTTAAAATTGACGTTTCATTTTCAGGGGATATTACTCCAAAATTAGATTGTCTGAATTTCTGAAAATTCAATGGATAGACCTTGACTTGGACGGAGCTGAAAATGTTAAAAGGTTTCCTATTTTATTATCGGCTTATTTAGCAGTTTTAAAACGCTCAGATAACTTACAAAAATTTGCTTCTTTCACCCTCCAATTTATCATAGCAAATTCGAGTGCCGCCCCTAAGCAAAATCCCACTGGTATTATAACTCTATAAGTTCCTAATTTCTTTCCTGGTAATTTTGACAATAGTTTGGCAAATTTCCTGCTAAAAAATACCATCTCAAAAAAGTTTCATGTCAATGTCATATTTCGTCAGTTTTAATCTAATGGGCGCAGCCATTTTAGTATTTTACCAAAGCATATTTTGTGTAAAGTTAGGTGGTTGGTCAAATTTCTCTGTTCTGTCCAATCAAATATCGGGTTACTCCAATAGATTGAACTGCACAATGGCTGTCCCCTTTCTATTTTAAGCATTCAATGTTTTGATTGGTTCTTATTTTGACCTTGATCTTTATGTGACCAATGAAATCAATGGGAATTCAATGGACAAAGCGACTACCAAACAGCAATCATCTCATAATCATTTGTTTATATTTTATCTCATGCAGATACAAAAGTGATTGTAATGTATGGTAAATTGCTATGTAAGTGGACACTTACAAATGTACCCAAAAATACAAATATGCATTTATTTATATGAAAAGGTCTGCAGACAGGAAACACATATATCGATAGGTCTCGAAATTATAGATACACTGTACACATAATACATTTGTCGATTTGAACATTACACAAATGCATACGTGTGACTTAGTACTTCCTAGCATGTATCAAACAGATACACTTTGAGATAAAAGAGAAAGTATAAATACATGAGAAAATTCATTGTTGGGACCCAAGAAATTGATTGAAATATGAATTAGGTCTGTTCTCCTTGTTATTTTGCCCTCATTATCAATTTTGATACATATTTTCATGGTCAGCATTACAATAATATAATAAACTACTTTTAAATAATCCATTTGGGAACAACCCCTCAAGGTAATAACTAACCCTTTTGTGAGGGGTAAATTTCCAATGATAATTTTTTTTTTTCGTTTTAACCACTTCTAAGTTCAAAAGTATATTCATGGACTTCAATCTTTTTTATTTATGTCTGGTCAGAATGGGGACATTAAATCTGATGCTTCGTGTAGAGAAAGTGAATTGCTCTATGGTCTATGCATGTTAAGAATCCTTGTAACAACTCTTTGAGGGGTCTGTTATTGGTCTGTTGCAAGGCAAAATTTCTTTCCTTATCCAATTTACCCTCATTTTCTGGTGGCAGTCTAAATTTTCCCAATCTTCATCTTGGACTGCCTGCATCATAGGACCTACTTATTGTATTTATTGTTTAATTGTACTCGTCCTGAAAATGCATGAAATAATTGTCACTGGACGTTAAACAAACAACAATCAATCTTCATTATTGAAAATAAGAGGACCCTTTTTTTAGAAAAGTTGTTCCAAATACAATGAATAATCCCCCGTTTAAGTTCCCATCCTGATAAAAAATAGACCGCAACAACACAGACAATATGTATATATAGAACTTATGCCTTACAATGGAAATCCTTATGTCCACATGGCCAGTGGTATTGAGTTGTAGTTTTTAAAATTATTTAGACAATATTTATTATAGCAAATGCAATTATAACAATCTATAAATGGTCGATTAGTTATAAAATTTTACATCATTTCTAAGTTCAGTCAATCAGAAATAGAAGAACACATCTTAAGTATTTGTAATGACCCACTGTTGAATAATAATTTTATTTACCACTATCATTATTGATAGTTTTAAAATTTAAAATAAATTTTTAAATATTTTTTGTCAAGGGATTCTCTTTCCATTTTATAATTTTGAAAATGCCACGTGAAGTTGTTTTCCTCTTCAGTTTTATTTTGCAAAGTCTTACATTTCTAGCAAATTTCATTATATCTTCTTCTTCTTTTGAGCTTATTATGAGTGCATAGTCTCATTTTTGCAAGCCTAGATTGTTCAGATTTCATAGTTAGCTGATAAACATGCATGACATTAGGTTAACATTCCCTTGTCGAAATGTTTTGAAAAAAAAAAAAATTTATATTGAAATTTTTTGAATTTTTCTCTTGTAGGTTTTGGTCTATAATGCACTGATGTAAATAGTTAAAAAATGGTTGAAGGGTTAAGTTTTAATTCTAAGCCAAAAAAAGGAGAACCCAAGCTTATGAAGAGATGAACCAATATCAATACCCCTGGTTTTTTTTTCTCCAAGATACATGTACTAAGTAAATCATGTGCTAGGGAATGTTAAGATGTTTTCAAATGGTCCAAATATCTAATATTGGACATGATATATATATATATGTACATGTACATGATGTATGCTAGTTTGGGGGAGAAACAAAGATATTTTGCATCTCTTCTCTGTTTTTATCACTTTCCATTGTTTCATAAGACCCTTGATTTATTTAATGGTGCTACCACTGCCAATGATGTCTGTTCTACTGTATTATTTTCTTTTTATATGTCGGCTCTGTTTGTACCTATTGTCTCCTTACATTGAAGTAAATAAAACATGAGAAGAAATGCATTTGTTCTGAAATCAACAGCAAATTTTGAAACTTAAAGTGCTTCAAAATTGCTGATGTTTTATTTTCTGGGTTAATGACTTGGTCCATTTTGCTTTTGTTGGTTATGGTGATTTGTAAGTGTTTGCTCCTAGTTTAGTATGTTATATAGGTGTAGGTGATAGAAGACAAAACTTGTGCATTAATTTATAAGACCATGTTTCAACCATCAATTTCTCTTGAAAATGTCTGTGTCAAGTCAGTTATTTGTCATTTATTATGTTTGTTGTGAGACATTTCTTTTCTTTGTGGTACATGTACATTATGTAACATACTTTCCCTTGGAGTCCAGTTCTTTTGTTATTACCATTATATGTCATAATGAGAAAATTCATCCTTAATTTGGAGTTCCCTGACTTACTAAAATAGTTCAATTTTTACATTAATGTTATATAAAAAGTGTAGATCATGAAAAAACTTAAAAGTGTCTTACCAGGGTGACAACTCTGTCAGATCCATTGTTAAAAATACAAGAAAACATTTCATCAGTTCTGCACTCACTTTTAAAAGTTTTATTGAATTTAGCAACTCCTGCTCCATTTTGCCCTCCTGTGTTAAGGAAAATACAACTGATGTTGCAAATTCAATTGAGCCTTTCATCAAGTGTTCCCCATGTTAAATTGGAATAAGAACATTGCTATGTTTTCAAAGAAGAAAAAGAGTGTTATACTAGAATTGGAATTCAGTGCTTCTCTAGCTAAAAATCTCTTTGATGATCTTTTGGGGGTAAAAAAAAACATGTAATAAATTTTTCAAAAACATCTATGTTTTCATGGTTATGTATGTTTTTACAGACACTCACAGTTTCTGTTGATAAGATTTTTCTTTTTTTGTATTTTCAGATTTTCATTAATCCATTTTGAAGATATCAAAATGTCTAGTCAAGTTGATACCATGTTCCAGCTGCCAGTAGATTTTCCTAATATAAAGGCAGAAATCAAACAGGAATATGCTGGGTAAGATGACACATATACAAGCTCTTTTGCTCCAGGTTGAATATTAGTCAAAAAAAAAGTGTGTGTACCCAGAAATGAAAGGCATGTAACTATGTAACTACAAATTATAGAAGAATGATTTATTGTCAGTAGACACATGTTTAATAATAAGGCAAAAACTATACATACTTCTTGTCTGTCTCCTGGTAGAATTAAAAAGGGTAGGTTAGGCTTTGTTTGACCTGCTAGTCAAATGCGTTTTGTTAAAATATACTTTTTCACTTTTTTTATCTTTTGGAAAATGTTGTTTGTGCTGTATTTAAACCCCTCTACCAAGAAATTTGTTTTGCATGCACAAGTATAAAAATTGCAGTTTTTATCCAACGCAATCATTGGTTTGAACGTTGTTTTCAATTTAGACTTGTTTATATTTTTCCGTTTGGGCTTGTATTATATTTGCCTTCGGGTTTATATAATTTGTTCATCCTATTTCGACTCTTCAAAATTCAAGAGTCAATCCTAAATTGAGTTAAATTATATGGCCTTCAAAATACCGTTTTGATTCCTAACATCACTGAAGAGACATTAATTGTTGAAATCCGGATATGGTGTACAAATTTTTGCACCTTTGCGGTATACCATCTATTCCGCAAGTTTTTTGTTTTCTGTTTGGTATTAAATTGATAATTAAGATCCATTTTGTTACATCTGGTGATCCGTTTATTTGGCAATCGCCATGGCAGTCAGCAGGGTTTAAGAACATCTGTTAATCGACCTCAGTGCTAGTGAAATGGGTTTTGTTAAGATATACTTTTTCACTTTTTGGTCTTTTTTAAAAAGTTGTTTGTGCTGTATTTAAACCCCTCTACCAAGAAATTTGTTTTGCATGCACACATATAAAAATTGCAGTTTTTATCCAACGCAATCATAGGTTTGAATGTTGTTTTCAATTTAGACTTGTTTATATACATGTGTATGGAAATATACAAATATGTCTGAACTCTGGACTACAGTGTTAACTGAAAATCTCCAAATGTCCCCAAAATATGAAAAAAAACTCTTATTATTTACCTTTTACTTTTTTTTGGTTCAGAAAAATCAGAAATGATATTTTCAGAAAGAGGGGTCTGACATTTATAATTGACTGACTTAAAGTTGAAATCCATCAGTTTTACAAAATATTTAACTTTGTACAACTTTTGATAGAGAAAAATATTTCTATATGTTAATTTTCTTTTTGAAAGTATTGAAGTAATGATAAATTCTGTTGTAAGATTGTGTAATTATACTGTATGTTATAAATAGGGATCCTGCTCCAGCAAAGAAAAGAGGAAGAAAGAAGGGTAGTAAGAACCAGAAACAGACAACAATCACAGATAGTATGCCTGTTAGGAAGAAAAGAGACAGATTTAATGGGATGCCAGAAGAAGAAGTTGTTAAACGTGTTCTGCCAGATCATCTAGCACCTGATCTAGATATTGTGATTGTAAGTTAGACATACAACTTTTTTTTTAAGGTGGGTACACACAAATACAATTGACATAAGCTCTGTGATAATATGGTACCTGATCTAGATAGTGTTATTTTAAGTTCAATTTGCATATCCTTGTCATGTGATATCTATATTTGTTCTTTTTTGTCGAGCCTTCAACTTTTGTCGAAAAAGCGAGACATAGCGATTCTACGTTCCGGCGGCGTCCACAAATATTCACTCTGTGGTTAAAGTTTTTAAAATTTTAATAACTTTCTCAAACTATCCTGGATTTCTACCAAACTTGGACAAAAGCTTGTTTATGATCATAAGATAGTATCCAGAAGTAAATTTTGTAAAAAAAAAATTCTTGTTTTTCCGTATTTTACTTATAAATGGACTTAGTTTTTCTGCCAGGAAACATTACATTCACTCTGTGGTTAAAGTTTTTAAAATTTTAATTACTTTCTCAAACTATCCTGGATTTCTACCAAACTTGGACATAAGCTTGTTTATGATCATAAGATAGTATTCAGAAGTAAATTTAAAAAAATAAATCCTGTTTTTCCATATTTTACTTTTAAATGGACTTAGTTTTTCTGCCAGGAAACATTACATTCACTCTGTGGTTAAAGTTTTTAAAATTTTAATAACTTTCTTAAACTATCCTGGATTTGTACCAAACATGGACAGAAGTTTGTTTATGATCAAAAGCTAGTATCTAGAAGGAAATTTTTATTAAAATTTTGTACTTGTTTATCCATATTTTACTTATAAATGGACTTAGTTTTTCTTCCAGTTAACATTAGATACAGTCTGCAGTTAAATTTTTTAAAACATTTATTAGATTCATAAACTATCCTGGATTTTTACCAAACTTGGACAGAAGCTTCTTACAATAAAAAAATTGTATCGAGAGGAATATTTTTATTAAATTTTTTCCTCATCTCATTTTTGTTGAGCCTGCGATTAACAGCAAAAGAAGGTGAGACACTGGGTTCCGCGGAACCCTTACAAATTTTTCTTTTTATAAGTTGAAAGTTGCATTTCTATTATCTATTCATTAAATTTTTCATCCATCTGACACAAGATCTAGCTATTGTCAGTGTATGGTGAAACACAGATGAACCAGCATGTTAACGTGTTATGTTTTTGCATAATTTAATCTTCTGAATCATCAGCATGTATTGCCATTGAATTTCAGTATTAAGGAATAACAGTGATCATTTGCAATTAAATGCTGAAGTTATCTTAAACTAACAATTCATTTATACATGTATTTACCCTACATTTCCTTAATTAATATGGTCAAAGCTAACCATAGTATAGGGGTAAAACCTAAACATTTAAATTTAAATAAGTATCATGAAAAGTTTTTATACTTTATAGATTACAGACTTTATTCTATGTATATTGTTTTACAGGTTGGTATAAATCCAGGATTATGTGCAGCATATGTTGGTCATCACTATGCAGGACCAGGGAACCATTTTTGTATGTATACAAATTATACTAGCAATACAATTATTTATAGAATCAATAATTTTCTTATTTTAAAATACAGAAATATATGTGGCTTTTATAGATGATTGTAACATGGAAGGAGCTCATGTGCCTTGGGTTAACCTCAGTAATCAGCATATGTGATGGACAAACCTTTATTTTTTATATAGACTATCCAAAAATAGTAGCCAAGGGCAAATGTACGGTGTCAAAGCATCATTGTTTGGGTGACTGAAGAAAAGGGCAAATTGAAAGATTCTTCACCCTCGTAAGACAGTTTAAACGCTCTAAAAGTATCACTTAGCAATTCCTAAAGGAAAATATTCAGCATGAAAGTTTTGGTTAATAGATATATATATATATATATATAGAGAGAGAGAAAATTCTTAATTCAAATTTACACAACAAAGAAGTTTTCTATGTTATTTGAAGACTCAAATTTGTTCCTAGAAAATTATTTTATTCCATAGGAAAAAGAGATCCACTGAAAAATCTTAGCATGTGTTTGATAGGCTTGTTTGTTCTCATATAGAAATGATTTATGTTTTTAACAGGGAAATGTATGTTTTTGTCTGGATTAATACCAGAGCCATTAACAGCCAATGATGATTATAAATTGTTGAATCATGGGATAGGTTTTACTAATATTGTTGAAAGAACAACCAGAGGGAGTGCAGATCTGTCCAGGTAGGCTACATATGTAAAATGTGGTAGTTTTATTGTCTTGCCTCAATGTGGTCAAGGAGGCAAGAATTAGGAGTGCTGTTTCTCCATTAAGGGGAAACCACTAAAGGAAAGTCAATGATATGTGGAATGCAGGTGTTTAAGCTCCCACATATCTTATTTCCATTGACATTATTTGGCTCCACCCTTCACTCATGGTTCATTGACTTTGTAACTTTTTTGATAATTTACGTGTTAAAAGTTTTTGATTATGTCAGTTAAAGGAGAACCACTTATGATAAGTAAATGGTATTTGGTATGCAGTTGTATAAGTATAAGCATATCTCATTTCCATGGAGATTATTTTGCCATTTGACCTCATCATGGTGCATTGACTTTGAAAGTCTTTTATAGTTTACATGTTATACTGTTTCCATTTTAATTTCAACATTTGCATTATACTATCAAAATTACATACAGGCAAGACATATCTCTGTGTCAACAATTGATTATTTAATTTTGTTAGTTGCAGTTGTTTTGTGGGAAGTATTTGATGATTCAATCTTTATTAATTTTTTACCACTATTTAATTAAATACTAGTAGAAGAATCAGAAAGAAATGTTCTGTTTTCTCTAAAAACTTTTTGCCACTTTATCTCATAAAGGAAAATTAAATTGAAATCCTAATTTCTTATTTTCTATAATTATTCAGTCTATCTTTCTGAAATAATCACCAACCACCAAATTTTAATGGAATTTGTGATTTAGCCAAGGTCAGCATAAAAGCTGCTAGGAAAATTTGTATTTTGTTGAACATTTAAATCCATGGTTTACCTATTTCCATGAAATCCACGAATATTGGTAGCTAATAATAAGAAGGAATCACAGTCACTTTTACATAAGAAGATTTTAAATGGGGGAGTGACAGAAGAAGAATAAGAATTCAAAATGTATTTTTTAGTTGACTGTAACAAATTTTGAAGTGTCGATGTCTAAAATAGATTGACCATAAAATTATATTTTATTTTAGGAAAGAAATTAAAGAAGGTGCTCAAATATTAACGGAAAAACTACAAAAGTATAAACCTAAGATAGCTGTATTTAATGGAAAAGGTAAGACACTTCTTTCTTTAAGCTAATCTGGTAATTGTATCAGAATTTTTTCAAGAAAACATTAAGATCAATAAAGGACTTGTTCTTTAAAATAGAAATTTTGAAATAGGGCAGATGGCCTACAAAGTGATCTACTTTTATTCCTCTATAGAGTTAAATGTATTAGTTTCTCTATATCAATATTCTGAAAGAGGTTGAAAAAGTATTGTGTTCAGCAACCTATCAACCTTATTCAGAATAAATACAGGGTAATTTGACATGTTCATGTCAACCCAAAGATTTTAAAATTGGTATTTGCTGCTTCTTACCTTAGTAAGATGGTTTGCCCATGATAAGATGACATGATTTCATATAGACTGTTAATTTCAGAGCTAGTATGTTAAAAATCCTGCTCAGCATGTTGTTCTTGTTGAAAAGATTTTCAATCATATTAAATCTCAGTATGACATTAACTTGCTCATATTCTGAGTATAGTTTAAAGATTACACATTTATCAATACTTTAAAATTTTCAATTACTAATAAAAAAAAAATGAGATTCTTGAAATATATTAGCTCAAAATAATGAACATTTTCGCTCTTGTGATCAGAAAATATTTGTCTAACAATTGTGTGTTCATTGTTTTATTGAAAGATATGTATAAAAATACATTAATGTTTTTCCAGAAAACATTTTATTTAATGTTTTTGTGCTGTCATTTTTAGGTATATATGAAGTTTTTGTTGGTCATAAAAACTTTGCCATTGGTAAACAGCCAGATCTCTTGGCAGGCACTGAAACTGTAAGTAATATTTGATAAAACAGTCCAGGTATCAGTAATTCCCTAGAAAGGAGTAAGGGCAATAATGCCCATATATTTGGCCTAAAACTTGACTTTGAGGCAAATCGGCCGATGATCAAAGTAAGTCACAAGTTTTTGGTTTAAAGGAAATATGAATTTTGGTTTCATTTGCCTTGAGCAGATGATCCAAGAACAAAAGTACCCTAGGAGCAGCAATATTTAAGAAATTTATCACGGAATTATAAATTCAAGCTACCATTAATTATTTCTATTCTAATAGGACAAATACAGCAATTCTTTTGGATCAAAGTGCTCTAGGTGAAGGCAGATATTTGCTGTTCCCGTAAATAAACACACTATCATTAATATCAATGTAAAAGACCAAGAAAAGTAAATTAGTGACATGCTTAAACGATTTACAATAACATACTTAGACAGGTTAGGACAAAGTTAAATGATTATCTTACTTTTATTTAACAAAAATTGGCTTTCAACAAATTTTTATACGCCCGTTTACGGGACGTATTATGGTATACCGTAGTCCGTCCGTCGTCAACATGTCGGACATTAACTCAAAAATGCTTTAACCAATTTGCATTGTTTATATCTATTGACGTGAGCTCCCTTTCGTTTTTTATAAAATTTAGATTTTACGTTTCCGAGTTGTGGGGTTTTATTCATTAAAAAAAGGGGGATTTTCCAGTTTTCAGACAATAAGTCAAGAATGCTTTCACCAACTTGCAAGAAATTGTGGTGAATTGTTTATATCTATTGACCTGAGCTCCCTTTCGATTTTTATAAATTTATAAGATTTTACGTTTCCGAGTTACAGGGTTTTATTCATAAAAAAAGGGGGATTTTCCAGTTTTCGGACAAAAACTCAAAAAATGCTTTCAGCAATTCTTATGAAACTTTGGTGAATTGTTTGTTTGTATTGATGTAAGCTCCCTTTAGAATTTTATAAATTTTACATTTCTGAGTTATGGGGTTTTATTCATTAAAAAAATGGGTGATTTTCCAGTTTTCGGACAATAACTCAAAAATGCTGTCACCAATTCTCATGAAACTTTGGTGAATTGTTTATATCTATTGATGTAAGCTCCCTTTTTATTTTCATAAATTTCTAATATGACATTGAGAATTAATTGAACTTTATTTGTTTATAGTCAGACAACAGATTTTCTAAGTATTGCACAACAGCAAGAAATCTTTAATTGAATATATTCAATTCATATAACCAATTTCAAGTTCTTTGACTACATTTATTCAGAAACCTATAATATGTCAAATATTTAATTACAATCCAAATTCAGACCTGAATCAAGCTTGAATATTGTGTCCATTTTTGCCCCAACTGTTCAGGGTTGGACCTCTGCCGGAGTATCTAACTGCGCTCAGCGAAGCAGTTTATTATCATTGTTAGTATATCTATCCGTGTTTTGATTACTTTCAGTTTCACATTCCCGTAGAATGCTTATATTCTTACGTCATCGTTCAATGACGTCATTTACACCGGTTGACCTTGGGTAACTCCTTCACAAAAAACATACGACGTGGGAGTAAGATGGGAACAGCCCAAACAAATCATGACCTTGCCAATCATCTAACATACAATATATTTTTCTGCAAGTGTGTACTCAAAGCTTTTGAAGAAAGTCATATTAGAATATAAAATTGAATACCAGGATTATATTCAGTCAAACACATACAGTTGTATATTGAGTTCAGTTGTAGTTGAAAATTAGAAGTTCAGCTGAGTTGATGCTAATTTATTTTTGAATGGTTCTGATTTCTATTTGATTATATAATACACAACAGAATGACATTACATGTGCAGTCGTCCATTATATTTAGCAGCAGGTCTTTTTTTATAAGAATTCTCATTGCATTTCAGACTGTGTATGTGATGCCTTCCTCAAGTGCAAGATGTTCACAGCTTCCGAGGGCCGTAGATAAAGTTCCATTTTATGCATCTTTGAAGAAGTTAAGAGATTATCTTCGTGGAGACTTAAAGGAGTTGGATGATTCTGAAGTTTGTTTTCCCGATTTAGAGTTAAAGGTTGTAAAAAGGGAGCCAAAACCAGAAATAAAAGAAGAAGCTGCTGATTCTTGTGCAATGCAAAGCCCTGCATACCCACAAAATTGTGACTCTGGTTACCCATCAACAAATATGCATATTAAGCAGGAACCCAGTTTTAATAGTCAATCTCAATATGGCATGCCAGGAAATGCTAACTGCTCTCAAATGCAATCCCCATATTTCAACTCTAATTACAGTTCAGGACAAAATGGAAATAGTCAATATCCAATGATGTATAATTCAGAGGGGAACAACTCGCAAAATTTTCAGATGGTTCAGAGTAATATGGGAGATAATTCATTCCACATGTCTCAAATGATGATGCAGGGACAATCTCAAAATTTTCAGATGTTTCAAGGAGCAATGCAGTCTTCATTTAGTGGTGATAACACAGGACATTCTTTTTCTTATCAACAAAGTTTACAAGCAAATGGAATGAAAAGTCAATCTACAGGACAGGTCATGGTTCAAAGTTCATTTCAAAGTCAAGGTCATCCATTCCACAATGGTGCTCTCAACTCTCAGCCTTCTAGTGGCTACCAGCAGGGTATGATTAGTCAAGGGAATTACATGAACTTTCCAAACCAACATCAGCAGAATTTTGCACAAGGAAATTTTGATCAAAATCCACAACCCTCAAGCGGGGATGTAACATTCATGGGATTTTCTCAAAGTCAGCAACAAGAAGGACAAAGCAATTATAGTCAGCCAGCCTCTAACTTTGTAAAGCAAGAACCTGCAGATTATAATGACCCTCAAACTGGAAGCTGTAATGGACAAAAACAAATAGATTCCTCACAGTGTAATAATATGATGAACTTTCAAAGTCATCAGGGTCAAGGTTACATGTCCCAAAATGATGTTCCTCCAATGCATATCAAAGAAGAACCAAAGGATTTTGGGGACTTTACAAATGGTTCATGTCAAAGTAGATAGATGTGTCATTAATTTCATTTTTATGCCCCACCTAGGGGCATTATGTTTTTCGGTCTGTGCGTCCGTTCGTCCATTCGTCCGTCTGTCCCGCTTCAGGTTAAAGTTTTTGGTCCCTTCAGGTTAAAGTTTTTGGTCAAGGTAGTTTTTGATGAAGTTGAAGTCCTATCAACTTGAAACTTAGTACACATGTTCCCTATGATATGATCTTTCTAATTTTAATGCCAAATTAAAGTTTTGACCCCAATTTCAGGGTCCACTGAACATAGAAAATGATAGTGCGAGTGGGGCATCCGTGTACTATGGACACATTCTTGTTTTGTGACAATTTGCCTATCTCAATTTGACCCAGTGTTCCAGCTAGGTCGTTTTCACAGGGTGGTCCGCCCGCCCTTTCCCGAGTGCCGCCCTGTGCCCTTTTTACAGTCTGCAGGGCGCCCTGCCTTTTTTGAAGATCGATTGGTATATTATTTTGTTCGTATTGATATGATCAGCCAATTACGAAAATTTACCTGGCGACAAGTATATGACTTTGTTTACGACCCCAAGCTAATCAACGATTACAACAGGTGTCATATTCTGTTGTTATAGGTAATCCTTTTATTGGATGGGTCATTTAATGATCATCAACATTAATTCATTCAAATAGAATCGGTCAGTCGGCATTTGTCTTTGAACTTGAAGAAATGTTCATACAAATTGGGCACAATTAGCAATGTTTACCGTAGTTTCATGGAGAAAACGTAATTGACAGAAAGTCGAAAACCATAATCAACTCATTAAAAACATTGCTCTTATTGTTTTCCGTGAAATAAATAGCAAATTAAGACGTATTTTTCATTGACTGCCTTCATTTTTTATACGAAAATAACAAAATCGGCCGCCATATTGTTGATCGTATTTACAAAATGTACATCTTCTACGTACTGTTTATTATCCTCCGAAGAAGGAGCACACCCAAATAAAGAAGGATAACTCAATCTTATTTTTTCCTAGCATTGAGTAACCTACTAAGATATTATAAAATATGTCTTCATAATTCTGGCTTTAGAATTTATATGTTTAGGTGTTTTGAGTTATGGGAAAAGTTAAAGAATGTCTTAGTAGCAGGGTTGGTAGGGTGCCTTGGTCATCTTTTTCTGTATTTTTTATTTTCAATCCAAATTTTCACTGTTCACTATATCCTAACATTGTGCATTTACAGCTGTTTTGTGCTGTATTGCCATTAAGCACAGAAAAGGTAGAAAGGTGAAACTTGTAAAGTGTGTCAGACCATAGAAACAGAATGAAGCAGGACATTTTTCAAAAAATACTGCATATAAAGCTTAACTGTGCCAAGCAATGATTTAAAACTTGTGTCACAAGCTGCTTGATAAGTTTTCAGCCTAAAAAGTAGAAAGATAGTTTTTCTCTGGGCTAATGATGTTGTTCTTGTATATTTATAACCAGTGATTCAATGAACAAACAATGTTTTATTATAATCTTTATTTAAACATGCCCTTTTCATATTATCATATCACACGTTAAATGCCCTTTTTCAGGATTGGCACCCTGCCCTTTTGAAATCCTAGCTGGAACACTGTGACCTGAATTCCTGCATTATATATATACATTAATTTCATAACAGTTTTATTACCTATTTTAATGTTTTATTATTATTAATAATCAAAATAAATTTGACAGCATTTGTTCTCTATATACATGATATGAATTAAACCAAAATCTTTAGGAAATGTGCTGCTTAGACATTCTGACAAATCTTCCTTATGTCTGTTTAATAACATCATAGTGAAACTGTGTCATGGAGTCACAACTTATGTTTATATGTTCTGAAACTGTTCTTCAGACAATAAAAATATATTATTTTATTTGTTATCAGTCAGTTTTAAATTTTCCTCAAACACTGAACCAGATAGGCTGAAAATGTACTTTATGTTTTGATTTTTTTATTTATAAATCATATAGTTAACTTGGTAGTTTATTTATATGCATCTAGATAAACATGATAAAACTAAAGGATTTCAAAGGAACATAATTATGTGTGTCATTCTTGTATGTAATTGACATGTAGTATATATATATATATATATGTAGTATTAGGTAATAGTTTCATTATTTTTATTTATCTTTATTTCCTTTTATATTTGAATGTTTTGATAATTTATAGGTTTTTTTTGCATATACATTAACAGTAAATTTTAATACCAACTGATATCTATCAGTACATTTGATCTCAGATCTTTTGTAGTAATTTTGAAAACATTAATTTTTTTAATGTGCTGTTTGAATAGGCCAAAAATATATAAACTCAGGGTACTTCTTGTATGTGTCACGTACTTAATCATATTAATACCAGTTTATGTGATTGTTATTGTCAAACAATATACATATATAGAACATTTTATTTTAATGTACATGTACAAACTTTTAGTGTACAAACTGTGGTTGTAAATAATGGCATATTAAAATTATCAATCACATTTGTTTATAGTATGATTTAGAAATCATTTCAGACCATATTATCATGAAAATGTCAACTAAATATTTAAAACAAAATAAATTATTATTATTTCATCATGCTTTGAAATTCTTGTTCAGAAGTATGTTTTTCTTAAATGTGTGTGGTCATAATTCAGTATGAATATGCATGTATAATAAACAGAAGAATTTTGTTTTCTTGGACATCCAAAATACTATCAGAATTTGTGCTATGTACTGTGTACTGTGTTTTACCTGTTTTGGGGTTGCACAGTGAAGAATTTACATTCAAAATTTGTTTAAAAAAATCCTTTATGTTTAGTTATTGGTGCTCTAGAAATCACAGTTGTACTAATGTGTGTCTTCTAAACGAAAGTTTGGCCAGTAAATAAAAAAATTCTGTTCTGAATGTTCCTTTGATGACAACAGAATGATAAAGGATAATTTATTGAAAAATATGGTTAATGAAACATAAACCAGCAATAAAGAGTGTGCTAGCAAATATCTATCCACAGAGTTTTATCATTTGCTACAAAGCAGTTGTTCTTGTCCATTTAAAATCTGGAGTTATTGAGCACATGTAGTTGTTTTCAATCAAATATGATGCCAGCTCCTGAATGGAAGAAGAAAATAAAAGTGTTACAACATTTATCAATGTTTATTTTTAGAACGTATGCAAATAAATGACTAGGGACATGGGACAATAGGGGAGAAGCCAATCTCATAAATATTCATTCATTTCACCATATGCACATTTGACATTTATGGTAAAATTATTATGAAAGTTACAATTTATATAAATTCTCAGGATATTATTTTCATATGTTTGTTTATTTTGAAAATGTTAAAGATGAATTATGTTATTTTCTTACATTTTACTTTATTTTAAATACAGATAGTCTGTACAATTTTTGTTTTCATTCATCATGTAAAAATCTCTATAGTGCAATGCATTTTAAAATAAATAGTATGTTTACAAGAGTGCTGTATATTGCATTTATTTATTTAAGACATGAAATATTGATGTTTGATATATACATTTGTAAATGTTATTATATTGTTAATGATTTTTTTAATATGGAATTTTTGGATATATTGATATGATACATTTGGTTGTGTTTCTGGTACAATTAGGAAAACTTTAATATTTTTAAAAATATTTACTGCCGGGAACAATTCATGAAAGATGGATAATTTTTGAATCTTTTCTTTAGAGAGATATTGTACTTTAAAAAAGGACTGTAAGACATTGCAGTATAAGAATACTTTTGCTGTTGACACATTGCAGTATAAGAATACTTTTGCTGTTGACACATTGCAGTTTGGAGAAATGAATCACAGTGTCACTCATTATATTTCAAAATCCTATTATAAAGATAGGGTTATTAGACAAATATGTACCGATTATCAGGTTGTCTGTATATTGATATTGTAAAATATCAACTGTAAGTCACAATATGAAGCTTTTTGCCAATTGAGCACAGCGAAGGAGTTAAAAAAGGTTTCATATTTGTTGAGCAGCTGATTTTTTACAATATAAATATGATGATAATTCGATAATTGATTTATCAGATTGTATTTGTGTATTTTGTGTTTTGTTTCACCAGCAAACTGGAAGATGACTTGATAAGTTCAGGTCAAACTTATCAACATCTGTTCATTCATTATGATGTCAGTGATATGTCCAGGTCAAATTTAATTAGACCTGGTTTATGTATTTGACGTCACAAAGCCTGATATGAAATTTTATGAAGAGCTGAGCAGAGTGATACAGACAGTTGGAACACTGATATTAATGGATATTGTCCCTCACATTATATCATATTTCACTTGTTATCTCCTGCAATATGTTATAATCCTCGAGACAATGTTTCCATATACATGTATAAGTGCAATATCCCTGTTTTATACATCAAGTTCAATATGACATGCCACTTAACCAGTTTCTCTTTAAAATAATTTTTCTCACATAGATCTGAGCAAGCTTGCAAAAAAATTTCCAACCCAAATTGATATGTTTTATCCTTTTTTCAATTAATTTTCCTAAATATGCCCCTGTGGAAGTAAAGGAAAATCCCTGGTGTGAATTTTATTTTTTCCATATATTATTTACATTGCATATTGATTTTGTTGATAATGTCTATAAAATTTTAGTAACCTGAACTGGTTTTGTTGATGGAACTGTGTAAATTAAACCAAAATTTTTGATATACATGAACATGTACATGTAGTAACAAAATGTAATCTTAAATATTTTTTGAATGGGGCAAAGGAATGAAATTGTGATAACGTAATCCATTTGTTTGATATCGCTGAATTCCTATTTCTGAATGTACATTTTGTAATTGCTTCCATAAAAGATCATGGCAGTGAAAATAAATAGATTTCTTTGACAACATACCCAATTTACATAACATCTCATACATGTACTAGATTTATTTTGCTTTTTTTCATTTGTTATACTACATTCTATATGAAACCTGTGGCAAGGTTAAGTTTAGTTAAAAGTGATATAAAATAAATTTAGTCAGAAAGATAGATTTTGCAAATATAAAATATCTCAAATTTTTAAATCTGTCATTTATATATACATTAACAGTAACAGCTGTATTATGACTGACAAAGGGATATTCCATGAATGAACAATGTGATTAAAACAAATCCTAAATAAACTGTTCTATAGTAATCTGAGTGTTTATTTATATGTGTTAATCAAGAATATTAATGGTTTTATTGGGGACTTTCTTCTTACAGGTTTAAGGGCCCTTGGTGGCCAAGTGGTCTAAGTAGTTCATGCGCTCAATATAAACTAGCCTGTCAACACTCCAGGCACTACGGCTTCCCCCACCAATAAAAACTGGCTGCCACAATACAGCCAACAGTGCTGAAAATGGTGTTAAACACCAATCAATCAATAAAAGAGCCAAAGGAACATTGGCGTCCAAAAAAGGAAAATTAACAATAGGAAACAAAAAATTCTCTTTTGTCGTTAACTTCACTTGAAACTGAAATATCCAAATCAAAAAAAGGACAATTATTGCTGTTAATATTAGATTTATTTAAAATCAGTTCTCTGGGGAAAATTTCTGCAGTATAATTGGAGAACTCTTGACTATTTTAAGAAAACTATTTACGTTTTTATGCCCCCGCCTTAGCGAGGGGGCATTAAGTTTTACCCTTGTCTGTCTGAACGTCCCAAAGTTGGTTTCCGTTCTCTAACTTTAGTTTGCCTCAACAGAATGTTATGAAACTTATACACAATCATTATTACCACAACACACAGATCAAGTTTGAATTTTGGTGGTGTCACTTTAACTGTTCTAGAGTTATGCTCCTTTACAAATGGAAAAATTGCTGAATATTTCGTTTCTGTCATCTAACTTTAGTTTGCCTCAACCAAATGTTATGAAACTTATACACAATGCTTATATCCACAAAATATAGATCAAGTTTGAATTTTTGTGGTGTCACTTTAACCGTTCTAGAGTTATGCCTGTTTACAAATCGAATTTTTTTTTACGTTTCTGTTCTTTTTTATCTATTAAAGAGGAATTAAGACAGATCCTTAAGGGAAACGAAAATAGTTTTCGTGGGTATCAATTTTGGTGGATTGAGGAAAACTTGCATTTTCGTGGATATTTGATTTCGTGGTTTTGCCTATCTCTACATACACAGCCATAGAGAACATTTGAATTCGTGGTTCACCTGTACCCATGAAACCCACGAAAATTGGTATCCAACGAATAATAATGAATCCACAGTACCGGTATATAATACGGATATGAAAAGTTTTTTCTAATCGATTAAATCATTTTATATAGAATTACACATGTAAATAATCTAGTTATCAATGAACAGAGGTTATTGATTGAAATGAAATTGACAATTCAAACACACCTACAACCTGAAACATAAAACTGGATTCACAATATTTATATATTATTCCTACTTTGGATTGGTTCCCTGCTTAACTATTGACTACCCCCAAAAAAAGGTAGAACCTTAGCTAGTAATGATTTCATGGTTCAGCTAGCAAGCAAGCTAACCAAAGATACTACCTTTGCCTACAAACTCAAGTCAAGGTGCTGTAAGCAATATGGTAGGTTAACTATTTGGTGTACGGTATAATTGTAAGGTGTTCATGTCCACCTTGTAGGGTTCATCTGACCTTCACTTCATTTACATGGATCATTGATAATGTTAAGTTTATGTAACCTTCATATTAAAGACTTTCATCATTAATTCAAGTATTATAACTAATGCACGAGACACTTCAGCGTGTGAACTCTTGTATCTTTATAACACTGAAGCCAAATATAATTGATTATAAATGTAGCGTTAATCTTTCTTTTTGGTAGTTATCTGAATATACCAGGTAGTTGGGGAATATTCAGACCCCAAATGAAAAGTATGAATAATGCTTAAGGAAATCTGTTCAAACTACTAAAACTTAGTACCCTCTATAGCATACAATGATAAAAAGTATTTAATTCCACAAATAAGAAACCTGAGAAAAAATAATGCAAATCTTTCCAAAAAGAAGGTGCACATTTGAAATCTGTTCAATCACTGTACTGTGCAAAGTTTGAATAATGTTGGAGCTATGCAAAGCACAAGCTAGGTACCTTCTAGGCATTTCATATGGATTGAAGGAGTGGAGTGGTAAATAGACCAGCAATCATCTCTGACAGAATACAAAATGAACTTAAAAGAGTAGAAAACAAATGATAAAATTTCTGTGCTCAATGTTTTCAGAATAACCTTCATCAGGTACATTATTTAACAAAAGTTTGGAAAATCAAAAATATTAACACAAGGTGTTTCAATGTCCATATAAATAGGCCAATCAAAGGGTTTTCACCTGGTAATAAAAATATTGTGCATCTCGCTTTAAATAGCCTTCCTCAGTAATTGGCTTCAACAAGCACAGAAGTCTCCTATAAAGTTTGACCAATCAGGATAATGGTGGCAATTCTAGATAATAAATAATCATAAAAATTCTTTAATCATAAAATTATAATGACTCTCTGGAAACTTTTAGTTCATTTATTTCATGGTTCTACAGTAGAGACAAATGCATAGTGACCTGTATGTCCATCCACTTACAATTTGCATAACAGCAACTCTTCTTTATTCTGATCAGTAAAAGGGGCCTCGGTGGCCGAGTGGTCTAAGTAGTTACTACTGTAATCACTAGCCAGTCAACACTGAGGTTGTGAGTTCGAACCCCGCTCGTGCGGGTGCACTCGACTCCAATCTTAATTGACTAGGATTGTCAGTTTTCCTATTGAAGGTCAGTGGTTTTCTCCGGGCACTCCAGCTTCCTCCACCAATAAAAACTGTCTGCCACGAAATAGCCCAAAAGCAGAGCTGAAAAGTGGCGTTAAAACACCAAAAATCAAAAAATCAAATCTGATCAGTAAACAATTTTACAACACACAGTTCAGATGCTTGTTAGTTCAGATAAATAAAACTTTGAACTCAAATCAACTGCAACTTTATTGTGAGCAATAACATAGTTTTTATTTAATGAGTATAATTGATAATAACATATTGGATAACATTATTATATCGAAACACACTATACATTATTGTTTATATTTCATTTAGTAAAATGCATAAAATTAAACTATTGAAAATTTGTTTATACATACTGTTAACCTATACTCCAATGGTAAACCCATACTTAAATGCACTCAAAGTTTTCTAACTGAAACATATTTACTAACTTCACATCTACTTTTTATAATGACTCAGTTATCATGTAAGATAGTAAAAGTATCAAAGTATTTAAATCAGATTCTCACATTTATCTATATATCTAAGGCCAAGGTTTTTTAATTTGTTGTTTTACGGATCCGCTGGCCCTATTTTACAGATTTTCAGAAAGAAATGAAATTACATTTCATGCTTTTTTATCCCCGCTGATCCTAACAAATACATTGCCCCTGAAATATGAATAAAAATATCTATGTAGTAACTTTTTCCTGAAATTAAATGCATTATTTTAGCATGTTAAAACATTTCTAAAAGAATAAAAATCTAAAAATAATCCGTAATGTTTGTGTGCCTAAAAATAGACAATCAAAACTGACCTTGAAATGTTGTTTGTGTAAATATTTTTGCGAAATAAAACCTCTGTTGAAAGCCCATTACAAAAAAATCGTTTTCATTTTTCTTCTTAATTCCGTAAGATTTTTCATCTCATAGATGAAATGGACCAGTCCAAATGTGAAAGACATCAATTTAAAAGTAACATATATCCTCAAACAATAAGGAATTTTCTTGTTCCTATTATGACATTGATGGTAAAGTGTTATTTTCGTGCAACAAAAACTTTTATTTCAAGTGTTTTTGTGCTTGAAGATCATTATTCACTTTGTTTCCTGAAAGTTGATAAAAAGCAAAGAGTATATGTTTTTTTTTTCGTTATTGAAATGACCATTTGTTTTCCTATTTTTCGGTGGACATAACCATTTTTACAAACTTATGTGATGATGGTATGCCTTGTACGTTTAAAACAGCTTCGCAATAATGTTGGGAACTGAAAATTAAGAAAAAACATACAAAACTATTGTTAGAAAGCTGAAATATTTATCAAATTTATATATATTTCTGCCTTGTAAGAATTTTTTTTTCTGATCGCCGGACCCGACTTTTTCACATAAAAAAATTCGTAAACCAACAAATTAAAAAACCCGGGCCTAACAAGGGTTTACCTACAGTTATTTAGACTATTTAACAAACGCTACATAAGTTTTAAATACTGTTCTAAATGTCAGTTTATAAAGTCATATATCAATAAAAATGTAACAATTATATTAAATTGAAATTCCCACTTCTAACAAACCTTAAAGTGGGATGTTTTGTTAAACACCAGAAAGTATAATCAATTATATGTAGTAAAACAAATTATCAAACGCTGCCTCAGAAACTATGAGATTAGATAGAACTTTACCATAGTTCACATAATGATAAGATGATCTACGAATATTTTTTTCAATAGTCAGCATTCAACTTTTGGCTACTGAGTAAGTAATTAAAGATAAAATACATCAACATTATATTTATTTTTGACAGATTCAGAATGGAGGACCTAGCAATATCCTTTAGTGATCCCCCATAAATTGAATGGCCCTATCTAAAATAGAGTCAAATATCCTTTCCCTTGAATTCTGAATTTTGAATTTTATAGGATCCAAGCTCCTCTCCGCTAGTTGTCTATAATGTAGATTGAAAATACCGGTAAGACTGAATCTCCAACTTGCCTTCATTCTTTAAAATCTTAAGGTATCGTCAACTATCTTGTGACCTTGACCTTTGATCTTTGACCTGATATTAAATAGCCTGTAAACAATCCACATGGCAGAGGCATACATGATATTTGATAAAGATTTGAGGCTAAAGTTAACCCTTAAAAAAGTTATGACCTTGACCCTTGATCTTGAAACTGAATAGGAGTCAATTCATAATACCTGATGAGAATTGGTTGAATTTCACTTCATGACCTTGAATAGAGTGCAAGCAAACCTGATGGCCATGCAGCAAATTCTAGTGAAGTGTAGATACATGAGTAGAGCTGCATAATGCTTACAAGCTTCAATCTTGTTATGTTAGGATCTTCACCTTTGATCCCTAACCCTAAATTTAAATCAGCTGTAACCAATGGCCATGCAATGGCTAATATTTGATAAAGACGGATACAAGACTGGATTCTAGAGCCTACAAGAGTGGTATAGACAAAACACACAAATCAACAATGGCTTTTCAAATCCTTGTGCAACTAACTTGCAAATGGATAACTATGTAAAAAAGTGTCACATGTTCCTCAAGTCATAACAACAGAATAACATGTGCAAACAAAATCAATTCACATCATGAAATTAACTGTAAATACAAGATATTTTCATTAAATTGGAATTTGGCATGATTTTTTTGTATTTGGATGAAAAAAATGAAAACACACACTTTCTGATATATGGTACATATATTTATGACAATATCTGAAAATAATGACAGTCCAAAAATAGTCTTGTTATCTAAGATATAAAATCAAATATTCACCATAAATATAACTCTTCCAAATAACCTTAATATAAGTACACAAAAACAAGGTTCTTCCTAAAATTTCTACATCTATAGAACTTGCAAGTGGATCTTCCTAGAGGTAAAAACACCATTACTATTTTGTAAACAAAAAATGACTGAACTATACACATCAACCTTTCATTTTTTGCAAAACAATGTCTCTAACCTATTTGCAACACCTTATTTAAGTTGGTAAAATTCTTCTTGTGTTATTTCATTTCAAGATGATTTGTTTTTGCATCCTTTTAATTCTACATGAATATTTCTACAAAGATCGATTGTCAGGAAAGTATAAGCACTATCAACAACAGTACTTTCATACCAATATATCAATGTCATAGAAATTGTAGCACCTACTAACTATCTATCATTTGAATAATAAACTTGAGATACCAAAATCCACAAGTGACTATCTTGAGAAACACACCACCAGTGCCGAATAAAAAAATATATAACTGAAATATAAATAAAATCTCTGAAAAGCCTAAATATCGCCAACCAATACCTATACAAACATTTGTGAAAATTACTAAAAACCAATACAAATATCATGCAATTATTTCAAACTTAACTTTACATACAAATAACTATAATAAGCTTTATGCTATTATTTATCACTGCATAACAATAGTAATTACTCTGTCTGTCGGCACTCTCTATGTCATACAATAAATCGTTAGATTTTACAGAAATGTCCTAACCTTTATACACAATATTGGGTTTACAAAAATTGAGCTCCATATCAATAGTGAACTATGGGACTATTATGTACAGACAATCTTTATATAAGTTATAATACAATAACCCATTTGTTTTTATGGTTTTCATAAATTTCATACACAATGTTAGGAGTGTTACAAAGAAGGTCTTTTAAGATTTAAAGATTTTTCGAAGGGTAAGTTCAGTTTTTAATGAATATGATTGTCAAAATTTTTCGCACCAAAGATATAATTATCATGTACATGTACTTTCATATATTTAATTGTTGTATATACTATTTCAGAGTCATTCTTGTTTATTTCATCATGAGTAATTTGTTTGTTGTTTATGTCTTGTTGTTGTCCCGGACTTTGTCACATTTTTTTACAGCTCTACATGGTTGTCATCTTATTTCTTATCTTATATATGATGTAAATTTCTTAGAAGTACATGTACATCAGCTTAAGCTGTTTTCTCTGGGATTGGATAGCTTATAATGAGGCCCTTGATGTCATTCTTCTAATTTCGTCACAATACTACCACTTTTGGGTTTTAATTTCTAAGATTGTAAGGAAGACACAAGATCTTGTCGTACATAACTTGCACAATATTAAAACATTGTTTAAACCTGTAAATATTTTGAACATTGTAACCAGTTAATTATAGTTTTTTCATGATGACTAAATCTACCACACTTAAAACAATTTTGACTTTGCAATGTTCAAAATGTTTACAAGCTGACAAGCAAATGGTAGGCATTTTGTTGGTCTTGCAAAGTCAATAAACATATCAACATTGTGGCAGCAACTGCTTGTTTAAATAAAAAGTATATTACATGTATACAGAATCAGTTGTGAAAACAAAATTCTTTATCTAAGGAAAAGCTTGTAAGGTTGACTAGCTTGAATAGGAAGGATTTACAATGGACAAACACAAAAACCTCATGAAATACAATCCATCAACATTAAAGTACTTTTAAAATTACAGTTTGCATCCTCAAAGCTCCTGGAAAGTCTTCAATATTTGAATAAAAACTCATGCCCTGCAAAAATGACAATTTGTCTTATGATGTATCCCTTCAACTGGTTCATCTCTATAAGTATGTATTAAAATGAAAACATTCTAACAAATATAAACAGCCATCAATTTCAACTATACAAGGTAGCTATATGTATTACACAACCAACATAAACCTTCTATGATACTGATTATTTTTTCTACAAACCAGAATTTAGATAATACATGGAAGCTTATATCCATGAGCATATTATATAGATATTTATAATACTATCATCTGATTACATTTTTTGCATGCACTATTTAAAATTTTCCCCTGAAATAAAATTTTTATGGAAGATCGAGTATTGTCCATGTATAGAAATTTGAAATCTTGTTGGGTTTTTTCTTAGTTGTATGTATACTGGTGCACTATTCTTCAAAATAAATGTGAATAGATATTGTCAAAACTAGATTATGTGTCCGTTCTATAGACTTTACTTTCAATAAAGTGAAACACCGACCTTGATGTTACTGTAAAGCATAGACTGTAGTGGTGAACCATTTACATTTAGTACCATATATATCTGACATAAGTATCTAAACCCAATACATAACCAAAGTCACAAGGGTAAATTGATATTCCTTGCAGCTTGATGCAAGTAGGACATCTACCAAAAAATCTTACACACTAATAAAGCAATATTAATAGTAGTATAATTCATGTGCAGAAATTCTCATATAAGGCACTTTAATGTTGGTAAAAGCATAGGTTAAAGATGTGTCACACTAAGTATTTTGATGTTCACATAACACATGGCACTTAAGTATTCACTTCATCTGGCCTCTATTTATAGATTTTGTGTAATATTTGCATCCCATATATGCATTTTATTTAATACAATATCAAACTGGCAAAAAATTCAGAACAATAAGGATCTAGTTTTTTGAGTATGTGCATTTCATAAAAAGGGTTGAAAAGTCATTTAAAGCATGAAAGAGTTATCAGATGTGATATTCCAAAAGATAGGTAAGACTCAGATTGTAGGATCGCATTACACATTTCATACATCTGGAAAATAATTTAGTGCAAAGAAAAAAGAACAGATTGTCAAATCTTTATCACCCTGTCTGAATTCATCCACAACTTGTAAGTCTTTGTGTATTTTATGATCATCAATGCCTATTAACTGATGATAACCATATCAATTACAATTCTTCCTTTTGGCAATTATGGTTGTGGAGATCTTTATAAAGTATCAAACTTTGACTTTAATTACTGTAAACCAACTTATTTTCATGAGCAATTCATTTTCCAGATTAGAAAAATAACACAAATATAAATCGTTGCGTCCCTAATATGTAAAACTTTGATCTTTCCTAATATAACTACATCAAGAAATTGAAAATCCCGAACTTTAATCGCCGCAAAATAGGCTAGAAAGGGTGAAACACGAAATCAAGTATTCACGAAATTAAGTTGGTTTACAGTATTTAGAGATCATATCAGAGCTAATGATTGGTAAGTTTGCTGTTGTATAGAGTAATGTTAGGATTTTCGACATTCAAAGAATGATAGAAATACTAAACTTGTTTATGATCAAAGCACCTAAGGTCACAAAACAATGGTCTTGGGAAATAACTTAAAATTGTGCCATCTTGTTTGCATTTGAAATAGAATCAAAGCTGGACATGACTATTGGATGTTTAATCGTTTATTTTTTTATTCAGAATTGTTTATCTCAATGTTAACTTATGTAAGAAAGGACAGAACTCTACATATTAAAACAAAAGAACAAGTATCTTTCAGGACTTTCAAACCTATATGAAGGAAGTTAAGCTATTATAAGGGAGCAGGTTATACTCACTCAAAAAAAAACTTTTACAATCACCCCACATGTATAAATATGATTGGGTTTTTAAAATCAAAATACCTGATAACACAAATCCATGGTCTGATGTATATAACAGACATTATGAAGTATAAATTTGACACATTAAAAATCTGACCTTATTTACAGCACTGCTACAGTTATTTACATACTCTTAAAAACTTTATTTGTTTACATTCTGATTTTATAGGTATTTAACAATATTAAATTAAGCCCTGAGTTCATTCAATTTTTCATTTTGTATATTCAAACCACATTCAGCAAACTGTTACACTTGCAATAACTTATCAAAATAATCACTTACTCAATATCAATACTGAAACAAATTCAGAGGTTATCGAATATTAACTGTGTTAAAATATTGATAAACTGTCTCACTTTCAAATTATAAAGACAAAAATTGTGTTTTAGAAAAATTACATATTTAAAAATTTATCTTATATAAAACATAGTAACAAAGATTAGAACAACAAAAAAATCTTCCCGCTAAATGCTGTTAATCCTTCTTCCTAAATACTTTTCAAAATTGTATGAATCGTCACATTTTAATGAAGTAAACAACTCATTTTCGTCCAACAACATACATCTCTATTAGGTATTTTTGATTAATAGATTACATCTAAAATATCTGACTGTCAACTGCGAATTCCAAATTCCTCCACGACTTGATATATAAGTTCTTTAATTTGGGTGCGTTTAATTCTTACATATTCCTGAGTCACTAAATCATTCAGATGAATGTTGTAACCTTCACATAACTCTTTACATAAATGTTCTGCTGTAGCTATCAAATAAACTCCACAGTCATAACCTGCAAAACACAAAGTAATCAAATAAACTCCACAGTCATAACCTGCAAAACACAAAAGTATTCAAATAAACTCCACAGTCTTAACCTGCAAATCACAAAGTATTCAAATAAACTCCACAGTCTTAACCTGCAAAACACAAAGTATTCAAATAAACTCCACAGTCTTAACCTGCAAAACACAAAGTATTCAAATAATCTCCACAGTCTTAACCTGCAAAACACAAAGTATTCAAATAAACTCCACAGACTTAACCTACATAACACAAAGTATTCAAATAAACTCCACAGACTTAACCTGCAAAACTCAAAGCATTTAAATAATTCATGGCAGCTATAAGATTGTTTTCAAATTAGTTCTAGTCTAAAACAATCATTTTGATCTTATTATAATCTGAAATGTCAAAACATAAAAATTTCTTTTTAAGAGTTAAAAGTTATTTTTCACTTACTTTCCTAGCAGTAAATATTATACCTTTAAGACATTTCACTTGCTTGTTGAGTAGTTTCAACACTTGATAATACTTAATGTTTTGCACAGCATATTTTTTTTGTTTTAGCATACCAAGTCATTTGTGAACAGGAAAACTCTAAATATGGTAATCAGATGTAATCATGAAAGTTTTTGAAAAAAACATAATTTCTTTGAAATTCAACATAAACTTTTAAATTACAAAATTGTTGACACACAACCAAACCTTGTTCTTTGGAACAGGATAGTGTCCAAAACTATGAGAAGTTGTGGTATTTTATCAGTTACAGTAAAGTCCCTGTTGGTTCAATTCCTTTTAATATCTTATTAGTAGAACCTGGTTTACTCAAGTATATTTTGAAGTCTTAAAAAGTCCAGGGCAGGGGAGATAACTTCAGCAATACATATATCCAATAACTAAACTGGATATTACTCAAACTACAAATCTAGCAGATTTTAAATTATTCTGTATTACATTCCTTTTACTTGTTTCCTGAAAGAAGTCAAACTATATTTGTAAAACAATTATCAATTACACAATCATTGTTCTTTACATTATATGAAGCAAAGAAATTTAGAACCACATATTTATAAAATATAAAACTTTATTTATATGGTAACCAATACTTTTTCAATCAAATCTTGAATTAACATATTTCTATATATGTGTGTGAGTTAGCGGCAATATATATGAAATAGGAATAAATATTGTTAGGCATTCAATTAAATCCAAGTATTAAGCTTTAATTTAATTTAAATGCATTTAAACATCAAGCCTAATGCCTAAACATAAATAGGCAAGATAACATTTCATTTATTTAGAAAATTGACAAAAGTTACAACTCATCACTGTCAAGCTGATGACCAAATATGGTCATTCTTTTCTGTAGTTACTGAGAAAAGTGTGAGGAAAACATTTGTTCCCTTTCAACATATTGAATAATTTAAAATATCGGCAAACAAGAAGTAGGTGTTCTTCAGAATGTTCAGATCTGTTTGTACAGGATTCATAGTGTTATCAAAGATAACTGAACTTACTGTTTTCTTGTTGAGGTCCGTCCATTTCTATAAACTTCATTCTTCCCATAGGGGCTGCAAGAATCACATAAAAATAATATCATTGAATATGAATGAAAGCAGAGGTGGCACAATGTATATGTCAAAAAGATCCAATGACATAAAAGAACATATGGAGGTAACATTAAGCTCCAAATCCAGTTTTAAAAAAGTTATCAATAAATTTAAAGTAAAAGTATAAATAATTGGGAAGTATTTCTGATTATTATGAAATTATGTATATATTTAGAACTAGATTAACTGCATTGGAATATAGAAAAATGTAGCATTTAACCTTCAAGAGATACAATAGATTAATAAACAGCTGCTGTGCCAGGAGTAAAATTTACACCTGTCAAATGCATACTGAAACTGTTGCAAGAACAAAATGGATAAGCTCAGTAGTAAGTGCTCTTCCACTCAAAAATTTCATAATACCTAAAATTTCTTCTCTCATTTTTCAATGAATTTGAGAGTTGAATTATAAGATACTGTAATATAATGTAAATTAAAAAAAAAGAATGGTTATGCGAGCATATTCCTGTACTTACCATGTACATGAGGCTGAATCTTATATGCTAATTTTTTGGCTATATCTTCATTATGTCTGCTACAGGAATCGTAATGTCTAAACTCTTGTTTACTTCTTATATACACTAATAAACTCCTGAAATAATACAATAGTATATGTATTTTCAAATAACATATTAAACTAATCTAAAATAAAAAAAGGTTACTTCAAGAAAACCGCCCAAAGCTTTATTTATATCTACCCTTATTGAATTATAGTAAACACTTATCTAACAAGCCCTTGAAGAAAACTTAAGGCTTTACATATTGCCAGGGACTGTCAATCACCTCTTTATCATATTTATTACATATATAATATAGTTATTGAAAATGTCACAAAATCTGAGCATACCAGTAAGCTCATTAACAACATGTACTGCTAAAAAAAAGTCTCAACTGATAACCTTCACCCCATTTTCATTCATATTCTCAAAAAGTTTAATTCTATTAAAGAAAAATATTGTTGTTTGTGAACACTATTTGTTATTACACTTCAGGTGTTTGGCAACAATGAATATGATAAGTATAATTTATCTCATCAAAGGCATTTCATTCATTTTGGATCTGGGTTTTTTTTTTTGGCACTTTTTTATACACGTTCTTGGATATCCAAGTAATAATTATGTAATAATGAACTGTGTGTGTGACCTTAAACATGGAAAAAAAACATTGCAATACTATATATTCATCTAAAGATTGACAATGACATAAATTAAGTGAAACTTTTCATTAACTATAGTGTATTTACCAATGGGAGCCACCTGCTGTTTCTGAATTTTCGTTGTCATTGACAGGTAGAAATACAAACTGTTTTGTTGGCAGATTAAGTGATTCTAGGCTAGAAGTAAGGTCTGCTGCTGAAAACCCAATCAAAATATTATTGCATTATCATACAGAATCCATAACATCTCAAATCATTTAAAAAATGTCAGAAGGGGTATTTTATTTGATTTATCTCAATAAATCTTTTTTAATTTCCCATCTCATAGGCAGCTGCTATATTCCTCAATCTTGTGGTGACTACTACTATTATTGTTTAATCAGCATTAGCATTAACACAACTAGCATCTTCTACAGAAATTTGGTCTCACAACAGGTCATCATATTTCTATTGGATTTTTTTTTAAATAAGATAATTTCCAAATGAATGATGGCTTATGCTCTCGAAACAATCAATGAATAAAAGCATTGCCAATATGACAAAATCACTAAAGGCATGAAAAATAAGCAATTAAATTAGAAAAAGAAGTAAGGTCAACCAGCATGAAATGCATGTCAAAGTGCATAAATTGTTTTTGTTCTATATTTTATTATATAAGATCTAACAAATTTGTGATATATAATCTTCTACTGAAGAAAATTCCAGAATTTCTGTACATTCATTCAAAATTTGCCTTTTCATACACAGCCATCATGGTCATTAAGTTTCTGAGATCTTAACTTGGATGTAAACCATCAAGTAAATCCATTTAAGGATATAATATAGGTAAGACAAAACTTATTTTTGTGAAAAGCTGTCTTTACCCTTAGATGCATCCTTTAATATGCAAAGTTCTATGATTGGTGAAGTATAGGCAATGCCACCTACAATCTTCTTTCTGCATATGGTTTGTCTCTCACAGGTGAAACTGCAATCTCAACTTATATTGTTGTATGATTAATAACTTCTGAGAAATGGTTGAGTTGATGTACATGGATATGGAGACCAGGGGTGCCCCAATAGTCCACCTCAACTTTGTTGGGACTAAAAAAAAAGCAGATAAAAAAGATACATACCCTGAGCTAGTTTTATAAATTGGGCCACATCAGGAGATATCAATGCTACTCTATCTGCTGAATGATTGAATTTCTCTCGTTCAAAATATCTGAAATGAAATCAAAACTTTCTAAGATTAAAAAAATATGTCATTGGAAGTAAATGCTAATGGTTGAAAATCGCCACTTTAGTCAAAAATGATTTTTTTTGCTTTCAGACTAGGCAAACAGTTTTTTTTTTAGTAAAAACAGCATTGACTGTTGTTTTCCACTCATTTTCACATCATGACTTCCTGACTGTATTACATTGGGAGATAACACATCAGCCTCACCTGAGGGTACAAAAATTGCACATTTTTTTACTTTTCTAAAACCGCCAAAAGCAATATATAGATATATATGAAAAATTGCTGTTGCATCAACTTGATAAAAATTTAAAATAATACCCAATTTATGAATAATACCGTTCCAACAACCAGGCGAATATATATATATATGTAGTCACCTGGTCATTGGAACAGTATTATTCATAAATTGGGTATTATTTTTAGTTTTTATCAAGTTGATGCAACAGCAATTTTTCAATTTATTATAAGTAAAGATATTCAAGGACATAGACAATTTATAGCTTGTCCAAGATTGTTAATTTTTGAAAGTTTTTCTAATTTTCTCCATTTAAAAATGAATGCTAACCAAGGATCTGCGGTGGATCAAAAATGACTGAAATTCTTATTTTTATGATAATCACCCCAGATGCATGCATGGCACAGCATTCAGAATAAAATGCTTCGCTGGGCGCAGCTTGATACGACCGCAGAGGTCGAACCCTGAAAAGTTGGGGCAAGTATGGACACAACATTCAAGCTTGATACAGCTCTGAATTTGGATTGTGATTAAATATTTGACACAGCATAGGTTTCTGACACACAAAGAATGTGGTCTAAGAACTTCAATTTTTTTAATTTACCTATTATGGTCCAATGTCCAAAATCAAAATACATGGTTAGATTCAGCATATCAAAGAACCCCATATATTCAATTTTTGTTGAAATCAAACAAAGTTTAATTTTGGACCCCAACTTGGACAAACTTGAAAACTGGTCCCATAATCAAAAATCTAAACACATGTTTAGATTCAGCATATCAAAGTACCCCAAGAATTCAATTTTTGTTAAAATCAAACTAAGTTTAATTTTGGACCCTTTGGACCTTAATGTAGACCAATTTAAAAAACGGGACCCAAAATTAAAAATCTAAATACACGGTTAGATTTGGCATATCAAAGAACCCCAATAATTCAATTTTTGATGAAATCAAACAAAGTTTAATTTTGGACCCTTTTGACCTCAATATGAACCAATTTGATAGCGGGCCCACAAATAAAAATCTAAATACATGGTAAGATTCAGCATATCAAAGAACCCCATATATTCAATTTTTGTTGAAATCAAACAAAGTTTAATTTTGGACCCTTTGGACCTTAATGTAGACCAATTTAAAAAACGGGACCCAAAATTAAAAATCTAAATACACGGTTAGATTTGGCATATCAAAGAACCCCAATAATTCAATTTTTGATGAAATCAAACAAAGTTTAATTTTGGACCCTTTTGACCTCAATATGAACCAATTTGATAGCGGGGTCCACAAATAAAAAATCTAAATACATGGTTAGATTCAGCATATCAAAGAACCCCATATATTCAATTTTTGTTGAAATCAAACAAAGTTTAATTTTGGACCCCAATTTGGACCAACTTGAAAACTGGGCCAAAAATCAAAAATCTAAATACATGTTTAGATTCAGCATATCAAAGAACCCCATATATTCAATTTTTGTTAAAATCAAACAAAGTTTAATTTTGGACCCTTTGGACCTTAATGTAGACCAATTTGAAAACTGGATCCAAAATTAAAAATCTAAATACAGGGTTAGATTCGGCATAACAAATAAATAAATGTGGTCAAAGATTTTACAAATCTAATGCGCCATACTGTGCAATTAAAGATTACTTCTTGAAATTTTTCAATATTTGAAATTTGAAAAAAAAAATAATATTTGAAGAATAATTCTTTTTAATTTCTGAAATCTGAAATGAGAAAAAATTGACCCCCCACATTTTCTTTTTACCCCCCCTTTTTTCCCCCAAACCATAATTACCCATTTAAATTTACCATAGTGCTAACTTAATCTATTTTATAATAGAATTTAAAATATAGTGTCAAATCTTTCATATGGATTTTTTTGTAAAAAAAAAGATGCAACATTTGCAGATATTTTTACTGGTCTTCCTTTATAAATATGCATTTCTTTAAACATAATTTAAAAGCAGTGTAAGGGAAGTAACCAAAACGTTGTATTTGGATTACCTCCCTTACACTGTTTTAAATTATCTTAATTGTTCATTAACCATTTCTTTATACATAATTTAAAAGCAGTGTAAGGGAGATAATTTCAATGATGTATTTGATTTATCTCCCTTACACTGCTTTAAATTATGTTTTGTACTAAAGTATTTGTCCATTACCCAGGACAACCTTGTTTTCCCCCCTTTTTTGCCCCTAATATTTAAACGGTTTGAGCCATAACCCCCCAAAGCAAATCCTAACCATCCCTTTGTGGTATGGAAACTTGTAGTATAATTTCAGAGAGATCCATACACCGTTCCACAGTTATTGTCTGGAAACTAGAAAATGCTTATTTTTGGCCCCTTTTTGGCCACTAATTCCTTAACTGTTGGTACCATAACCCCCAAAATCAATCCCCACCTTCCTTTTGTTGTATTGAACCTTATGGTAAAATTTCATAGAGATCCATTCACTTAAACTAAAGTTAGAGTGCGAAAACTAATGCATCTTCGGACGACGACGCAGGACGACTACGACGACGCCAACGTCATACCAATATACGACCACAAAAATTTTTTTGCGGTCGTATAAAAATGAGACCAAAAGTGAAAAATATGCATTTAACACTCATTTGCAGACATTTGGTTAGATTCCCTTGGTTCAAGTAAATATTTTTTTAATGCATATGTATTGTTTCAATTTAATGATTTAAGTTGCTTAACTTTTTTATATTTATACAAAAGTCATTTAAATCCAGAAATTTTCATAAGAGGGGGCCCACTGACTGCCTAAGAGGGGGCCTGCTCCAGTCATGCTTCAGTGATTCCCTATATAATTAACCAAATTTTTCCCACAAAAGGGGGGGCCCGGGCCTTCTGAAAAACCCTCTAAATCCGCCTCTGTACCATACACAGAATAGAATTCCTTATTGAACTTTAATTGATAAACAATATTTTTTTCTATAAATCTGCAACAATGCTAAATATCTAGATGGTAATGCCTGAATAGTAGAAAAAATTGTGTAACTGACAATTTAAGGCCTTTAATGGTATTCTCAGGCATGTCAGGCATAAAATTAAATTGGATTTGTTCAGTACCAACAATAATTTAATCATATTAATGGGTAGGATACAAATGGCAAGATATATCATTGCAAAAAACAAAAAATTATAGCACTGTGAAAGATCAAGCACTTCCTTTTAAGTTTCACCACTTCTTCCTGTCAGTATCAAAAACAGAAGTCACTTCTTCCTATGATTCTGAAGTACTGTGAGCCCTGCATTTTTATTTATCTTTAAGTATATTTTACTTTTTCTTTGTTGATGGACTTGCAAAATGATAAATTATAAAATTATGAATTGTTTAGTCTCTAAGAAAACCTACAAGATTTCCATCGCTTTCTTGCAAAATGGATGTAAATTGGGTAATTACATTACAATGATGTTTTTTCTTAATCAGCAACTAATTGTAATTATAGACCTTATCCCTATTTTGGAATATGCGACACTTGACCTGAGATTTTGCGGCACCTGAACTATTGATATCATACATATGACTTTTGCATTGAGGCTTCATACTTGTTTTTATTATGATGTCAAAAATTTAAGGGAACTTCTGAGATGTCATGTTATGACGGCAAATAGCAATATTGTATAAAGCGGTAAGGTACATTGTAAGAATAGAAAAAAATCGCTATTTATTCAAATTTCAGATAAGTTTTGAAATTACACAACATTTTCATGATGTGGCAAACCAGTTGAAGCTACCTGGGATACGGTATATAAAATGTGTTGTGCATAGAACTTTTCGTACAAACACTTCAAACAAAGCATTTTTAATGACTTTAATAAGTCTTCAAAAAAATTGCATCATAAACTATCAAAATATCAAATTTTTTTTTTTCGATTTCTAAGCTTTTACCTCCCTCAGCTCATTACTGAAAACCTTTGTTTTTGCAACATTTGACCCAAACAGAAAGTTGTCCAAGTACAGTCAAACCTGTTTTTAGCAGTCACTCATGGGAAGTATCAAAAGTCACTGCTCATGAGAGGTGACCTTTAAAATGAGGTTTTAAAAAATCTGATTCCGACCGCATGTAGCCCAGATTCAACAAATTGCTCTAGTGTTTTTGTGTTGGTTCGTGGTTCAATTGTTAAGACCAATGGCTACAGTGCTGAAGGTCCAGGTTCAATTCTGACTTGGGGTGCTGGAAATTTCAGTACATCAGAAGAGTGATGTTCACCCTCCCACACACATCTCTGGTACCCAGAGTTTAAATTAAAATGTGTACATTGGGGGCCTCGGTTAGTCAATGTTGCCCCTAACTTTGACCTGGAGATCAATCTGCTGATAACTCTTCTGTTTGTCTTTTCCCACCGAGCAGCCTGGTGGTTCTCTTCAAGTACTTCGACTTCCTCCACCATAATAACAGACTTTTCCCAGTGTCCTAGCACTCCCTTTGAGTTGGGGTAGGGATTGTCCTTGTAAATACGTTAGTTACACATCTTCATTTATCCCAATAGGGAGTATACCCAGGTTCCACTGTACCCTCTCAGCTCTCGAGGGGTGCTTTGAATAACAGAGGGACATAACTTACATACATACATTGATAGAGTTATCGTTCGTTCGAGCAGACAAAAGAAAAATGGCAGATTCTAGTGCTCTAAATTTGAAGAAAACCTTCCAAATGATTAATATTTGTGGAGAAATAAGTCGATTGATAAGATTTTCAATGGAAACTGAAAGGAGTAGAACACGAGAAATTCACAAATCCACCTCACATTGCAAGATCTAGTAGCAAGCTGGTCTTCGATTCTCATTTTGAACTCGATACTAAACACATAAATTTTTTCGTCATGATTGTATTTTGTTTGTTAAAAACATAAAAATGACAGTTGTGAATAAAAGGTTGAAATGACTATTTCGTGTGAAAATTAGGTGACAGCCGACCGCGTAAAACAGGTGACTGTGACCACCAAAAACAATTAGAGAAAACGTTAGAGAGGGTCTGAAAGTGACTGTTAGAGACAGGTGACCTAGAGACAGGTGATCGCTGAAAAAAGGTGACCATTAAGGTATGTTTGACTGTAAGTGTTTATTCCAGGACTAAATAGCTGCAAGGTATATAAAGTATCAAGTAGATGATAAAGTTAAAATAAATATGATCAGAACATCAAAGTTGCTATAGTATACAGTCCAGTACTGTGGAAAGGGTCTGTTGTAGTAGTTAGGCTGGGTGTTTCATCTTCCCTATTTGGATTCAGGGGTCAGACATGTCAGAGTTGTTTAAATCTGATATTTAATATATTATAATTTCCATCATGGGTCATTGGGACGATTTCGCTGTATACACTATGTCGTCTTTGTCGATGTCATATAATTTGGATCTATAACTTAGATTTGCAAGTTCATTTTGGAAATACACATGACTGCTGAGGATGTCCTTTTTTCAAGGAAATGTCAACTTCATACATGTACTTGTTGTCTCAGGGTCAAGAGCAAATACATTTCTGGAAGAAAATGTTTCATAATTTTTGTCTTAAAATAGCACAAATAAAGATCGACATACTCGAAACAAAAGCCTATTAGAATATCATTCAACCAATGAGGACCGTCAAGTAAATCAATATCAGATTTTCGCACTAAACTGTCGTTAAAACTTAGAACAACATCGTTTTCTCCATCTGCCATGATTATAACTCCATATTAATACGTCACTTCCGTTTTTCTGATTGGCCTTTGTTGACAACTACCACTTTATCTGGAGGGAAATTTAAAATCATGTTTAGCTGCAACTTTTAGAAAAATATATATATATATATGTGGTTATGTTCCCGTGAATGCGAAATTGAAAGAGGAATATATCCACACTGGGACAAAGATAATATTTTTTTTTATTTCGGCTGCCCTTGAAAATGGTTAGATCGGTGAGCTCGAGAACTTAAAGGGGTACTAGCTGTCAAAATCATGTTCACCGATTTGACTCAAATTCTCATATTTGATTTATAACATAGATCTACTAAAACACATATCCAAATTACAATAAGTCTGAAATAAACAGTTAACAATGCATATACTAAATAATATATATTAGAATTTCGTGTGTATTTTAGTTTAGATGCCATCTTATTAATTATCGAGATGACCTCCGAAAATTGACGATGGTCACATAACACGATATAAACATAAACATATATATAAATAGATAGCGACCTCGTGCAATTGGATTTTTCTATGTCTGTTTGATTTCATGATATAGGTTTAAATAATAAGTAAATTAACGTTTTTACCTATATAAGAATGAGTTTTTGTGGATCGAATCAGTCAAGCAAATGATTTACCTTTCTTTCACTTTCAATGTTGACATTCTTTTCCTGTTAATAACTTAACACGCATAATACATGCGTAATCCATCTCTAGCTAAGGGGTTAAATTGAAGGTCGCATGAATACGGATTCAATGATGTCGAATTATTCACTTGCAAGTGAATAATTCATTCTTAGCTTATTTTGACAAAATTGAACCATACTGGCTGCTAAAAGCGAATTATCATTTCACTATTTCACTTGCATTAATGATTGAACAAATAAAAATCATATTTTATTTTTTTTTTATATATCTCGTAGCTAGTGCCTCTTTAAAGGTAAATAGGCAAAGTTCAACAACATTTACACAGCGACAGTTTATACTAACTTAGTATAGACTGTCCCTGATTTACATAAATTTTATTAGATGTAATATTCATACCCTATTAAACTTTCCACTTAAATATTTCATAAATTAAAGAACCGTTCTTGCATGTTTTTACATGTATATATAGCTTCATAATTTTATTGTATTATTCAAGGATTTGTATTATTGATCATGTACATGCTTAAACAATATTCAAAAACAGTTTTCATTTATTACTTCATCACTAAGGACATCCTATCATTTAGTGCCAGATTGATTTAGATAAAGTTAATAGGACACATACTTTTTACAGCGGATGACCGTGAGGGCATTCCGGTGTTATGTTGCCACAGACATGTTTACCCACGTAACGCGTTTTTGACTGATAACCGAACGTATTTCGTATAATTACGCGGATATTATCAAGTGCAAAATAGCATTCCTTATCGCTTGTTATATATTAATTTCATCAATAAATATGCATGAAAATAATTTTTAAGAACATAGATAAATGATATGAAAATGTTTTGTTGTGAGAAATATATATATCAATAACAAATCAAGAATACCGAAAATTTGTGTTAACGCATGCGGAAGAATATCTCAAGAACGTTTTGCAACAAACGCGGGAAAATATGAATGCCTACTCAAATCCAATCTATTAGAAAAACGAATTATTAAAGAAGAGTGTCCATCATGCACTTGCACTGCACTATCATTGGAATAGTAGAATAGAATAATATACAAATGGATGAAAATTATATATAACTTAACGTTATACAAATATTAATATAATATATAACAACAAACCAGAGTATACTGATAACAAATGATTATATCACTACAATATACCATAGTTATTACGGTGAGGTTGAATTCCCTGTCATTTATTCATCACCCACACACGAACTTGTCTCAGAAAAAAATATATCTATGTACCTTAACCGAACTTTCAGGTATAGAGATTTGATTTTTTTTCTGAGACAAGTGCTTGTGACCATCCACCAGAACTTGCGGTCATCCGGTGTTCAGTACTTCAGTACTTTGATTTTCTGCATGCAAGTCATAGGACATTGAGTTTTTACATCCCAAATCAGTATAGGACATTCACCTCTTCTTTTTTTTTGGCATAACCAGAATTTGCACTGATCCCACCTGCCTGATAAATATTGCACGGTCCCTTAGCTAACTATATTTAAATATTCATAAAATGTCACATGATATAACCACAGGGACTCGGTTAGCAGATTAAAATTTTGTTAATAAATGTTTTTTTTTATTTTTTGTTATTATTTCCTGTCTATTTGTATTACTTTATTAACGTATTTGACGTTGACATCACTATTTCTTTGTTTTCTAACAATGTGCAGTTTTCTATCCATATCCGTATACTGAAAGATTTTTTCAGTATACGGATATGGATAGTAATAAAAATAAAAAACATTAATAAACAAAATTTTAATCTGCTAACCGAGTCCCCGTGGATATAACAACAAATGAAGTAACTAGTGAACAGAAGTAAAAATCAACGGAAACGTCTCAGGTGATGTTCGCAAAAAGCCAACTTTTAAATTTGTGGAACTATATGGTAAGTAAAAATACATCTACAGCATAAACACTGAATGGAAACTTTTGTCTGTTTCTTAAATAAACGTAGGTGAAAACATTGTAAAAATAGGCGCAATTTGGGTACCCTCACGTTAGTTATGAAATTAACGAAATTATAAACACAAAAAAAATATTAATGAAATCATAAACACAAAAAAAATATTAACGAAATTGTAAACACAAAAAAAATATAGCGAAATTATAAACAAGACTACTTACAGTATTGCATCTTTTAGGCTGAATGGTTACAATTATTGTAACGTGAGGGTACCCAAATTCCGCCAGATTTTTCAACTTTGTCATGATTAATAACAAGAAACAGATAAAAGTTTCCATTCTGTGATTATTTTGTATATGCATCGTTATCATACTCGGTTTCCGTAAATTTTTATTTTTTTCTCTAGACTTTATCTGATCGTTTTGTGTATCGTTAAGGATTAATAGCTATGATAAAAGACGTACATAATGACACATGTTAAAAATACAATTATTAAGTCTCTTTAATAGACAACCTTAAGGCATGGACCATTTGACTTTCTGTGGGGGGGGGGGGGGGGGGCTGGGTTTTTATATCAAGCCAGATTTTGTTTATCATGCAAACCGAGCAAGAATATTTTTTTCAGGCAATCCAAAGCAAGAATATTTTTTTTCAACATTTGTAAAGACAAAGGAATAGGACATATATATATATAACTTTAATTTTTATAGTTTTTTGGAATACAAGACATGGTTTTGTCCATAGCCAGGTAAGGGCTTTGGTCCATTTGGTATTTTCTGTAGCCCAGATAATTCATTTGATGTTTTCTCTGAGTTTTAAAGTCTCAATGTATTGTATTAATTCTGGTATGCAATGTCAATGTCCTAAAAATATCAGATTATGTGGACATGTAAGAGGTACTGAGTATTTTTCCATCTACATGTTTGTGCAACAAACCATTCATTTTAATAAGACAAGTAATACATATATATATCAATAATGTATAGAATGGGATATGGTGCACAAGATCCTTACACAAAATCAAAACATGTACACGCCTTTATTGCTGTTCTTCATCTTGAAATTTACAGTGAGATCTTCAACACAGAGAAATCATTCTCGCCTCAATGAAAGTTTTAAGACAGCCCTATAGCACCGGTTTGAGCAGAATTCTTTGCTAAAGTCAATATCGTCATAATTGTACCATTGAAGACGCACAGATGCGAGGCAATATGAACTATTTAATATGAAAAGCTGGCAAAGAAATCTAACAAATACTGTCATAGATTGCCCGACAATTTCACTTATACATTAATATAAAACGAGACAAATATAAAGTGAAACACAGGGTAAGTTACTAGATGTGGTACATATAAACAGTGAAGTTTATACCCCTCACAAATGAAGTTTTAGGTGGGTTTTTTTTTTTTTTTTTGGGGGGGGGGGGGGTTATATAGGATTAACCAAGTGTGTTCTGTCCTGTCTGTCGGTTTGTCCATAGATCTTGAAAGTGAGGTACTAGTACACTACAATGGGTGGATGATCTTTTTAGCGAGCGAAGAAAAAAAATACATCATACATGTCATACTTTCTGAAGATGAAGCCAGAATATTTTTTTAGCAACTGAATAGGCCAGATTATTTTTTTTTGGTCAAAAATAGAGGCCAGATTATTTTTTTTCAAAAAAAAACCAGACCCCCCCCCCCCCCCCCTTTCCCCCAAAAGTCAAATAGTCCATGCCTTAAGATATCCGTCGCTTTTTTGAAAAATGGGAGCAAATTGGGTCTTGGTGCAATTGCGCGTACTATGTCATTTTAGCATATAAAAAGTAAAATCACAAAAATAATGAACTCCGAGTAAAATTCAAAAATGAAAGTCCCTAATCAAATGGCAAAATCAAAAGCTCAAACATATCAAACGAATGGATAACAACTGTCATATTCCTGACTTGGTACAGGCATTTTCTTATGTAGAAATTGGTGGATTGAACCTGGTTTTATAGCTAGCTAAACCTCTCACTTGTATGACAGTCGCGTCAAATTCCATTATACAACGATGCGTGAACAAAACAAACAGACACAATAGGTAAAAATGTCAAAAATAGGGGTACAGCAGTCAACATTGTGTTATCATCTTAAAATCACTATAAAAACACAAAAACAAATCAGTGTAACAAAGAAGCACAAAAAGGCATACATCAAATTTAACATCCTCATTTTGCTTTTTTATTAAACGATTTTATTTACATATGTAAAATCCACCCATAAAGGATGGAAGGTTTTAAGTACTGGTGTAGAATCGCTCGTTTGACGTCACACAGGTAGATATAAAATAATTTTGTCGTTCAAAGTATGACGGGATACATAAGTGCAGAGTCACGTCAAATGGATATCACAAAAAACAGACTTAACAGTAAAAGTAATATTAATAAAGACAAATAAAAGAATACTATA